TCTGAGAAGTATCCCTTGACTTCTGCTAGACATGTGTTTCATCTAGTTTAAAGCAAGTTTTGTATGAGTTGAAGGAGATAATCTTTCTGGATTTGACATTTAATACAAGAGTCTGGAATCCATAGACTAGCTCTCCCAGGGTGTAAAGAGTTACAGAGTTATGCAACAATGAAAGTGAATGAAAGTTTTGACTGGGTACCGGTCTGTGCCTAGCTTGTTATTATGTGTACGTACATGTAGCAGTAAACTATGTGTTTTAATAGTATTGTAATTTGTAGACCTCTGGTAATACTTTGTACAGCCAGGAACAATTGAATACCTTTCAATAGCAAATTTATTACTTTTGACGGAAAAAGGGAGACTTTAGCGGTAGAATTATGACCCGATCAGCTAATTGTTGGAAATTCTGCACTGTCATCGAATCATGACTGGAATCGGTTTCTATGCTTGTGCATTGAGCTTAGCTGAATACACTCTTGACTTTAAGCAAACAATGCTAACCTAATAAAGCGGCTTCATCCCTGCCTGCTGGCTTCAGGCTGGTATCCTATAGCACAGAGTTTCTGTTTGATAGTAGAGTAAAATAGTATTATAAAGCCAGTCGCTTCATGCAAGAAGTCCGGTATGTGTTGACGTTAATGGAATGTATAGGCTTATATGATAGCTTGTATTGGACTGTTTGCACAATGGGGAAAGAAGTGATCAAGTTGTGAAATCATGAAGCATATGCTCGACCCTATGTTCGTTGATCCTGTGATTATTGCGGAAGACTCCAGCGGCAGACAGAATATCAGGTTAGTTTAAAGGGAAAATTAAATCCAACTGGATAGCAAACTTTACTCTAGAAGAACGCAGTAAAAATCAGAGAAGCAGACTGGTAAATGCAGATTTTACAAAAAATAGAAAGCGATATGAATTTAAAAAAATTGTAATCATAAAAAGGGTGAGCTCTTCAACTTGGCTAAATCGATAACGTCTCTGTGATGTAGTGACAGACATTTTTCACATTTGTTCCTCCACACAAAAAGACTAAAATTAAAAAAAAAAAAAAAAAAATGTATAACACAGGTGTGTCTTTTTTTGTTAGAGGACTTTTGATAATATGCTTTCCATAATGTATTTTTAGTAGTGCCCAGAGGGAGAAGGCAATTAGGAGAAAAATAGCAATTAATGATATTTGTGTAACGGCCGGCAAACGTGAGAGTTATCCGTCACTATGTCACAACCCACTTAACCAAACTGCTAATTTGAGATTTTTATAGACAATAGGGATTCAAACATCCCTGATTTTTGTTACTATTCGTTCCATTTATTTCAATTTTTTCACCATTCTGTTTATCATAAATTCTTAATTTAACCAAATAAATAAAATAAAATTACTGACAATTTCTAAATTGCTTTCTATTGGTGATATATTGTTTACTTGACCATTTACCTTTTACCTGATGGCAAAGTAAATAGTTACATTCAGTTTTTTAAGGGTGATAAGTAGGACTCCTTTTCCTTTTGGGGGAAGGGGGGGGGGGTCCCTAAGGAAAGGAATGAATTTCATATACGTGTTGTAACATATGGACATGAGTTTGACAGGCAAAGATGTATAAGGAAAGATTTTCTTTAACAGAAAAGATGATATGTCAGGATATTACAATACAAATATAGAATAATCTAACATTGACTATATTTTGGTGACCATATTTACATTGACAATAAGCAATGATCCGATTAAACAGATACCTGATCATGGTGGGGGTGGTGGTGGTTATTATTTTATCTGAATGCTAAGAAAGCATAAATGCTTGTTAGTAAGCAACCAGAGGACCTCTCCAAGAGTACCTGGCTATCTCATGTTGACCATAGTGACATCCATTGGTCAAACACCCCCCCCCCCCCCCCGAGCAAACTAACATACATGTACACTGACCCAACAATCAGTATAGTAATGGTTTCCATAATAGAAACCACTGTTGTACGATTGTGTTTGCCATACTCATCCCAGTGTAAATGAATCCTATTTGCTTTGACTGCACACCACCCTAATCACTCTACACAGTGACAACGCTGCCATGCAAGCAATCAGTGACATGCACTTTCCACCCATTTACACCTGGCATGCAAAATTTTACCATTGGAAAGAGAGAAATATGTTTATTCACATCATTGCTATTTATAGCTACCGCTATTCAAGGAGTGTTGAAATGCAGAGCCAGAGAGGTTTTCATTGTCAGTGTTATTCATTAAACATGATCCCAAGGCAGTAGCCAATGCTTAATTGTATTTGTGCGCTAGCTCATATAGAGAACAGATTCATAAGAGGGATCGATAGGAGGATGTTCGGAGGTATGTACTATCTACTCTGTGACTGGTAGTAACACAATAGGCCATTTTTGTATAGTAAGCGCATTTGATTCACATGGAAGTGCCTCGATACAAATTATTTCGTTCATCTGTTACAAATAATTGTATTTCAATAGTCAGAATGTGAATGACATACATTGCTTTTTGCTAGTAAGGACAAACATCACGTAAATACCCTACCTTAAAACATGTAATGTATGCAATTTGTACTCTTACTATTGAAATACAGTTATCTGTAACAGATGAACGATATAATTTGAAACAAAGAGTGTCACTCAAATTTGATTACATTACGAAAATTGTCTATTTTTCATCGGTATCAGATTTGTGATAACTTGAATTATAAAGGAAGCCCTGCTATACTAACCCAGACTCGATCTGGCCCACTCACTGATTTCATACAAGATGACACTTTGTATGACATATGACTGAGGATTCTTACCTGTGTTTGATTTATAGGTGTATTTGAGTTTTTAATTGGAGTAGTTCATGATGATGTTGTAAGACTGAACACTCTTAATGATCTGCCCACTACAAACCTGATATACCATTGAGAATATTGCTTTTTTACTTCTTTGAACTGCAAGACGGAGGATCCACTATCTCTTGGATGAGTTTTGTGCTTCTTGTTCAGCTGTTATTTTAGTGTTCCTAAAGAGTGGTTGGCATTGTAAGACAGACACTTTGATAATCGGCCGCAAACCTCCTGCAACCATACGCCTTATACCAGTGAGGATCAAACTTCAAAACTGGACAACTATCTCTATGCATGAGCTAGGACTCAGTATCTCTTGAATTCGCTACTGCTTCATTTTTTAGCTGTGATTTTGGTTTCTATCTAAAGATGATGTTGTATAGTATGAGAGATATCTTTGAATGATCTGCCTAAAATCACCTGCTACGACAGTCCTTATATACCACTGAGGATCTAACTTTCATACATTATATCTATGTGCATCACTGGAAATTAACTATCTGTTGCATCGGCCGACTTTGCTACTTCATTTGATGCTGTTAAAGAGGCATAAGATGGACGCTGGGAATGATCAGTTCCTAAATTTGCATCTCTGCCTGAATGATGAGAAAATTGAGATGTATCTCCCGTCGTCGGCGTAGAGACCTAAAACAGTTTTCAGCCTTAGTCTGTGCATGGAGGTGAAGTATATTATTGTCTGAATGATAAATGTTCCCCAGGCTTTACCCTTTCTCCTGTTAAATGCATTTATGCAGACAATCTCCCCACTATTTGCTCCTGATGGTCGTTAGATAAACGAGCTCATTACTGCTAGAAGATTCCATCTATTCAGTACAAAGATGTGCAGTTCATCAACTTGTTTTCGTTGCTTCAGGAATTAAACTGACACATCACTATTTTCACCCTGAAGGAGAATAATGTAATATCACAAATTATAAAGATGAGCTAGCTTTGGACAGATTATGAAATATAATTGCAAAAGAGTAGTCTCAGATCCAATCCCCAGAGTGTACAATATAGGTTTATTTCTTCAATATGTCATTGTACAGTGGTGTCCAACTGATGATATTACTATTAACTTCATCATTTTAGAGAATATTCTTGAGGCAATTCTGAGATAGAGCCTACCTGACAGTTTATTACGATTCCCCTCATGTCAACTGTTACAGCAGTTGATGTCATTTGATGTAGTAACGTGTCTCTCTCTGAAGGCTGCTTTCACAATTTCATTTCACCATCAAGAGAGAGGTCTCCCAAAGCGCTTGAGGAGACATCTATTGAGCGCCAAAAAGGTGTTAAACTTGTGTTATGTCACTTCAAGTCTTCAAAATCTATTTTTGGTTTCTCGATTTCTTTAATACGAGATTGTTTTTGAAGATTAGTTTAATTATACAATGTTTTTTTCAATGATTCTTTATACGATGTTGTTTTCGATGATTCTTTATACGATGTTGTTTATGATGATTCTTTATACGATGTTGTTTATGAAGATTATTTTAATTACATGATGTTGTTTTCAATGATTCTTTATATGATGTTGTTTTTGATGATTCTTTATACCTAATTTGTTTTCAATGATTTTTTATAGCTCAGCACATGCTCTCAAAATGATTGCATACTTTCATACAATACCTCCACATTACCTTTCTTTTCCTGGTGATGCTACATCACATAGCAACTGACATAGCAACTACTATGTTGGTATTGTCTGGTCTATTGTAAACAGGTGGTCAGCTCTGGTGAAGCTACATACCACTGTCTCTTGTTAGCTCACTAACAATTGACAGATGATGTCATAAGGGAAATGAGATCTGGAAAAAAAATTTAGGGTGGAGCTTAGCAGGTCTGAGAAAATTATTTTTGAAAATATTAAAAGATTTATGGAAAATATTTCTAGATGTTTGAATAACAAAATATGAGTTGTATGCAGCCCTGCTCATCAACAGGAATCAACTTGGATTTCACCTGACCTTTAATGTGATATATCAGCTACATGACTATAGGTGGTGTATATGATACAGGAGTATATAAAGGCATGTGAGTGCTATACAAAAAAGCAACTATTGTAATTAGTTTCGTACAGTACGAGTTAAACAACAATTTTTCATAGCATGCCAGCAAGTAAAGTTACTCCATCATTAATTATGTATATCTTTTTCTCTCTTTTCAGATCCAAGTCTTTCGGTAACTCTGTATCCAAAGCTTTCAATGAAGCTGTCTCGAAGCTGGAGGTGAGATATCTGATTTTTCATTCTTTTCATTCAATTTGTGGAATATTAAGAATGATTTACATCCAGTTTACTGTGGCCAAGTTTGTTTGAACCAGGAGTTAACACAACTTGCTTTGATTGAATGTGTAACCCCCTTCAAACCACCAATATTTACTATTTATGAAAGTTGTATAGCTTCATGATTAATTTAGTTTGAACAACAAAATGTTGCGTAATGAAGCGTGTATTTCTAAACACGCTTGAGCATGGTTTCGGATATAAACTTGATAAAGAATCAAGCAGCCTTTTCACACACAGCTAAAATTCTATAAACATGATTAGTATAAACGTGTTTGAAACGTGTTTAAACTAATCATGAGCCTTTCACACACAGAAATTTTGTTGCGATCGTTAATCGTTTCGTAATTAACTACTGCTCGTAAAATGCGCAGTAGTGCCATTGCGCATTGAAGGTCAGGTCATATCAAACAGAGCGGTCGCTCCATCCAGTTTAAACACGTTTAAACACGAAAAACCTTTCACACACAAAATGTCAAGCTCTTTAGATACGAACTTCGTATCGGCAGCCTGCTTTTAGGGGCGTATGCATCGCGACTTCGTATCTATCCCAACATCGTATTAATGATGTTCACACTGGGAAAATTTTTCTATAAACATGTTTAAAACTGTTGAGTGATTCTAATCATCTCTGGAAACGATGAATTTTAGCTGTGTGTGAAAAGGCTGTAGGTCTCATTCTCATCTGAATCTAAATATAAATATATTTCTATCAATGCATCTTTCCACCACAAACCAACATTATCATTGATAAAATACATTGTGTGTATCGACAGATACTCTTACTAGGGGTAACAACACACACATACCACAAACCACAGCAATTACATGTATTCAATGTTTCTTTATACAACATTTAAGTGACATATAGATTTCCTACCATCTGTGGTCAGTTTGTGGTCAGTCTGTAGTCAGTTTGTGGTCAGTCTGTGGTCAGTTTGTGGTTGGTGTGTTGTTACTCCCAATAAGAGTATCTGTGGATGGAAAATATTTATTTTATCAATGATTATATTGATTTGTGGTGGAAAGATGCATTGAATGAAATATTTATATTTTAATAGTGCTGTAATGTGGTTTATAGTAAAAAATAAAATAAAAAATATATATATACTGTTATAGATGTATACCAAAGCAACACCAAAAGAAAATATTTTGCACGGATGGAAAATATTTATTTCAACATAGATGTAGTGAGAAAAGAAATGGGGGAGCACACCTGCTGGCAAAATTAAATTTGTATCATTGGATAAAAGGTAGTATTTAAGAAAAGCGATGTCCTAATTTGCTTTTTCACTCCCAATAAACAGAATGTTAGAAAATAGATTATACATCCTCACATTAAATTTTGAAATTTATTAAAGCTTTTTGCCTGAAAATGGCATTGTTAACAATTTGTGAAATTTCAGATTGCCAAAGTTTCTTTTTTTTTTGAAGTATTTTTTTGTTGAGGTTACTGAATTTAGTTAACATTCAGAACTTGCTAATTGCTATGGTCAAGCATATTTTATTTCACTAACAAAATAATTTTGCTGTAACTCAAAGAATCATGAAGTTGAGAATTTGTTTGACAACCTGAAAGCTATTGTAAAGGCTCTTGAATGTATTATTGTTTAGAACATGTGTATTGTAGCATGTAAGTAGTAGATGGCTTTATTGATCCATGATGATCATTTGACATTTAAGGTAACTGCATTATCAAGGCTTCAAACTTGAAGTGCTTTATTATCATTTTATATTTATAGTAGAATTAGAAATGTTCCTATCATTGTTATCACTATTACCAAAATCACAGTTTTTGTACTAGTTTAGTCTGCGATCATGTAAAGTCAGTATTACATAGTTTGTGTAGAATAGAATACAAGATATCAATCCCTTTCATTGCATGCAGTGGGTAACAAAAACCACAAAGGTTTTGTTGAACAATATATGTTCTGACTATTAAAAAAAGGCCTATTTTCTCATTCAGAATAACAAATTGGGCACCTCCTCTTTGAAGTCTATTAGCGTGTTTCTATTAAGTTATACTGCATTATCCGGTTGAAGAAATAAGCGTATAATGCCAGGGCCTAGGGAAGAGCAGTTAATATCTACGCGCATTACCAGGATAAAATACACCGCTCCGATCTAGCCAGAAAAAAGGCGGTGAAAAAGTTCATCGAACTCTGGCTAAACAGGTCACCGCAAGGTATTGTGGGACTGCTAGGTCAACCCGGGATTGTAGTGTCGCGCGTGTCGGGGTAAAATTTTCCGATCACGTGATCACTCCTATTTCCGGTTTCTCACCGGCATGAGCACTCAATCGGAACGGGGTGTGTTTCTATCTACGTTATCCGGTTAGCCTCCCCTGCATTATCCTTCTAAAAGAAGGATAATTTTGCCGGTGAACGCGTAAAAGCTCTCTCCGGCATTATCCGGATAATGCCGGAGAAAGTGTGTTTCTATTAGGAAAACTTTTTCCCTTACCGGCCATTAACCGGATAATGGCGGATAATGGCTTTAGATAGAAACACGCCGTATGTTTAAGAAAATATTTGATATCTAATTTATAAATGAAACAGAGAAAATTCTATTTTATGACAATTGACTGTAGACACAAACATGATGGCAAAGATAAAAGGGCTTGAATGATTTGGAAAAATTGATTTGGAAAAATTGTTATGGTATTATACATTACATATCTCTCTCAACTCAGGCCGGTATTTGCAAATCTGCTCAGTTAGAAAGGAACATGTTATGTTCTTAAAGATTTTTTTCTTAAATTTTGAATATCACTTTGACAATGTGCAAATAGTATTGAACGCCATGAACTTATTTGTGGAGACATATCATATGAGATCTAATTATCTCAGAGAAAATCAAATATACGTGGTGCATTTCCAAAAGTTGAGTGGTGAACAAACTTATTCTTAGATCGTTATCCAATTTTGTTTGTTCTTCTATGTTTGTTTTTTTAATTGACCTTCAATGGGCCATACAATAGACTAGATAGATGTTAGATGGGGTGACTTAATATTCAAATGAATGAATCCCATATACTTACCATTGTTATATTGATGCGTACATTTATATTACAGTGTTCAAAAGTACAGTCTTGTTTCTATTTGTTTGAGACTTAAATGAGTGAAGAGTTTATTCCCTGGTTTTAACATTGCACACAGCTCACTTATATGACCGCATGCCATTTTCAGCAAAAATATCATGAATTGAAATTATACTGAGTGTAAACAACTCCTCATAAAAAGTCATTTTCTTTTTCAACAAGAAATTTCGATTGTTAAAAATAATTGGATTATTCTTTAAGGACCCCCAAGGAAGAACAGTAGTGTTCTATAAACACTGCTGAATTGGGCTATCCACCGATTATTGTCTATGTACATGTTTAAATATTCTACTTTGTATATTTTACTATTTTTATCTGATTTCGGAAATAAAAACAACAACAACAACAACAACAACAACAACAACAACAACAAATTAAATCTTTTGTACTTTTAAATGTACATGCATTGGTTTTGTGAATGGTGTAAACTCTAGAGACATGGCTCCACAAAAGTTTTCTTTGTAGGGGGTATGATTGGAAAAATTTAGGTTCTGTGTACATCATGTACTCGAGACCTATTTAGAATGTTGAAGTGTTGAAATTAAAGGGCAATTCCACTCCAAAAATAACTTAGAAGCAGAAAAGTCAGACAAACCAATCAAAAAAGTTTGGCAAACTCGGATAACTATTGCATATAAATGCAAGAAAAAATTGCTGATGGTGATGGAAATCGGACTTATCGGAGGTACGTGTCTTTTGTGTGATTTTTTTTTCTTCTTGTCGTTATTGTCCATGATGACAATAGCGAACAGTAGTATGTTGTTGTCAGAAAAACAAAATGGATTTTCTTTTCAAATGTTGTTTGATATGATTGGTTGTTGACTTTAGACCCCTTCAACGAATCACAATATAGTTCTAGGAAAGTAATTTATCGGGTAGCTTGACTAGGTCCCTGGTTTAAAATATTGCCTTTATTAAATATTTATATTAAAGACAACTTGCTCGCCACCGTTTCACACAGGGCCCATGTATCGTAAGGGGGTAGTAAACAAAAAGTAGCTTGCATGCAGCAGTCTACCCGTAGACAATATTATGTTTTAATGATCCAATTAACTTGTGGATGTGCATGATGTAAAGACTGAAGGAATTTTTCTGATTTACTTTATCTCTAAAGATGGGGCATGACAGTCGCAACAAGCAATTCCACAAGCTGTTTCCTTGTGTGCCAGACTCTGAGCAAGTTATAAACAGTAAGTCTTACTTTTTATCTCTTTAATTTGCATTTTGATTAATATTTTAACATAATGAACTTCAAAGAAGATTCTTATTGTATTTCTTTATGCCAGGATAAATGTTTATATTCTCTGTTTGGAGCCAGAAGGGCATTAGCTTGTATACTTAAACACAGACTTAACATCCTTCTTGCTCTGACAATATACAAATTACTGAATTCTTGACCTGTTACCAGTGTTATGTTTACGTTTTTTTTTATGTCACTGTCTGCCACAATTGTATCCAATAATCTCATTTATTCAATTTTTTGTTGGTAATCAGTCCTTTAAGGAAGGATTTTGTATTGAATATATCTTGACCGAATTAGTAGTTTTGTGGAAGCACAATTTACTGTATTTCCTTTTCTTCTTTTTTCTTTTTCTTTATTGTAAGGATTTGATATTGAATATATATATATATATCTTGACGGAAATAGTTTGTTTTAAGGCAACACAATTCATAGTATTTCCTCTTTTTTTTTCTCTCTTTTTCTTCTTCACAAAACCACTGATTTGCTTTTTATGACCTTTTCATTTGAAATGGATATCACTGTCTGTAAATGGTTTGTCACATGGTATTCACCATGCTGAGGACATGTTATGAAGACATTCACTCAGACCCAGTTTATACCGGCACCAAGATTATTGTTTCTAGTCTTGAAATGATTCAGTGATGTTACAATGTTATGGACCAGTTGAATGCCTGACCACATTTAGGGAAAAGGGGTTTCCCCTTGGTCGATGCAGGTGTAAACACAAGGATTCATATAGAAGCTGCAAGAAAAACAAATTTGACTAAAATGTGTTAGAGATACAAGGATGAACCCACTGCAGTTTGAAAAGCCGCTTTGGACTTGAAAGACACTCTTTTTTGAACTATTTGTGAATCTTAGATCTAAAAGACCTTTGTTTTTTAGTCATACTTTAAACAAAATGATGATAACAACAAAATCAATAAGATTATAAATAAAGTTGAGTTCTGGTCATGCAATTGCATTGTGAAAGAAAAGGTGTGAAATGGATCAGAAAAAGTTGATCATGTAGCATGTAAGTATGGGTGTGTACTGCAAGGTTCTGGAGTCATCAAAATCATAATAAATTTGGCCCAGTCTTGGTAAAGTAACAAGCACTGTACACAGAAGGATGCATATGGGACTACACAAATGGTGTCAGGCCCACCGTACTTACCTTATCTTTCTATGCTCATTACTCAGCCAGTATACATTTTATACCCAAATTGTTTGGTAAATGACATTTATTTGTAATCTTGAACATTCAGTGTAAGTTTTGTTTGATTCTGTGAGAACTCTTTTCCTTTTTTTTTTTACCAGAACTCAAGTTTGTCTTTAATGATGATATTGATGATGATGATTGATGATTGATAATAATGACAAAGATAATGTTACTGGTTATAATGATGATAATGATGATGATAAACCTTTCAACAACAAAAAAAAAAATCATTTTTTACGTATATAAAAGCGCCTAACTAAAATGTCTTGTTCACACTCATACCAGTAGTTGTATTGAAATGTGGGTGAAATAAAGTGAAAAGGGTATGGCATTCTTTGGATAACAAATAGCATTTCTATTGTGAATAAGCATTTCTAGCGCTCAGAGATTTCGGTGGTAAGCGCTTTATAAGCAACGTTTTTATTATTATTATTTTATTTTATTGTGAATAGGCAATCAAGGATTTATAACCAAGTTTATGACACGTTATTAACATTTTTAGTAGTTGTACCCTTTACTAGTTCCCCAACCCCTCTTAGAGACACAAAGGAGATTACCATCCAAACATAAAGCTCACACTCTTCACAGCACGAGATTTCATATAATTGTGGTCTCCGCGTGAATAACATGTATTCAATTACTGGGCTTGTTTGAAATGGTTTCTGATTAATTTCTTGTACATTTCCTGCAATTCATGGTAAAATTGTAGAGGCTGACTATTCAGTTTTTAATAGCAATGAAATATCTTGTTTAGCATTTGATTATTCATATTCATTAGAATGATTAAAATCTGTCATATATTGATACTGATTTAAACATCACAACAAAGATGTTATGCTTTGAAATTTGCTCAGGATAAAAGTGACAATGTTTGCTTTTGTTATTGACAAATGGCCCTGAAAATGTGCAGTTCCTGTCATGAGTTTTTTTACATCTGGTTTCCAGCCAACAGTTCAAGCTGCGCATTGGAAAATGAAACAATTAGCCAAGCGAAAAAAATAGATATATTAACATTCATGTGTGTATAACTGTTATGCATGTTAAGTTAAGTTCATTCCAGTTCAATTTGTATTATCCTTGAGAATTTACATTATTAGCAAGTAGTGAAAAACAACATGTAATTGATTTCCCTTCTATATGTATGCACCCTATAGATACCACAAAGCATACAAAGATGCCTTTCAAAAATCTATGCTGTCCCTATTTTATGTGCTGATTCCCCAAAGAAATGTAGGAATGGATTGAAAAAGAGATCAGTGTTGGTCTGCGAAAAAAATGTTTGATTACTTGCATTTTATCTTTCAGCCTTGGCAGCTTGTCATAGGCTAAATCTGGCAAATGTATACACATTTACCTAGTGAAGATCTATGAGATACACCTATTATGTATGGTTCTGTCTCAACAGTCAGAATGCAAACTGCGTAGCACATTAGTTGTTGCTTGGTTGGACAAACATGGCTTGCCCTGGCTAATAACAACTAATGGGTCTAATGCATTCAATTTGATTACATTACTAAAATAGCGTATTAACGGTAGCTACTGCATGCTTTCAAGAACAATTTTATGATTTACTAATGACAATTTCTTTCTTTTTGTTTTGTTTTGCAGCGTATTCATGTGCCTTAGTTAAAGATATACTCCTCCAAGGAAGAATGTTTGTATCAGAGAATTGGCTTTGTTTCCATTCCAACATCTTCTCTTATGAGAAACAGGTATGAAATGATTCTCAATTTATGCTTCCTAGTTCCTACAATGGTTTATTGTCATTTTTAATGATAACACCTTTATACAGTATGAAATTATTTTGGATGGGAACTAATTTATTTCTATTCCAACATCTTCTCCTATGAGAAACAGGTATAAAAGTGTCTTCTTTATGTACTTTATATTCCCCATGCAACATGTAAATGAACATTAATGTAATTTTTGTTGTATAAAAAAAAATTCATTTTCAATATAAAGGAATTTCAGTTCATAGTCTGTCCTCAATCTTTTTATATTTCTTCATTTCTCAACTCCATAATTGATATTTTTAGTTTTCTACAAACTTTTGTTGCCGCCTTATTTTGTGTTGAATGTCATTTGTAGGACCACACACCTTTCTCTTTATAATGTGCTTTTTTTATTGAGTTTTTAAAATGAATATTTAGTTAATAAGATCTTGATCTTAATTTACCTCTGACATCCCTCCAAGAATATCCCATCAACTTAATTTCTTGGGAATGGGACATTTAAATTGAATACATCTATAAACATGATGTGATGATCATATATCATACTTATCATAATTGGATATCGTGGAATATATGAGATATTCATTTTTTTCTGACATTCCTCAAAGAATACCACATTACCCGTATCTTAATTTCTTGATACGTGGCATTTATATAACACGTAGGAACATGATTTTATGATGCTTTTCATCACACTTCAGTGACTTTTACAGCAGTGAAGGATTCCTTTAAATCATCTCGTATAGGATGAGGCTGGAGAAAATAAATACATGTGTTGCCATGGGGATCATCTCTCTAGTCTCATCTATTTATCATCTCTCACATTTATCTTCACATTCTGTCAGCTTGTCTTCATATCCCCTTCAGTCTTCATCAATGTTTTCTTTTGTTGCTATCTCCTCTGAGGAATAAGTAATGCTTTTATATTCAAGGTACATCTGGACCAACAGCCCTTAAACATTCAAAACGTAATTAAAGGCAAATATTTATTTGTGGCAATGAGGTACTTTGATGGAGAGCATTATTTCTTCTTTTGGTTTCATGTGAAAGAACTCCCTATTGTAAGCATTTTTGTTGGTGTTTGGTAGGACTCAAAACAGATTTTGCATATTAAGTAAATGCAATTCTGTGATTTCAAGAATTTAGGTCTAAACTTTTGCATACATGTACCTCTGTTTGAAGATATTTAGGTGTAGAAATTAAATTTTAGTTTAATCTGAGTAAAGTGAATGACATTTGGGTAGACTTGCCTTTAGCATATTTCACTTATTATGTATCTCTTCCCTGATGCTTTTCCTAACCTTCTTCTCAATCCTTTCTTCAACTCTCTAAAAACTTCCTACTTTGTCTTGATATCTTGTACGTCTCTTCCATTCTGCCAAGCCATCCACACTATTTTTATCTTTCTTTGGTCTACAATCCTTGTTTTTCAGATTGCAATCAAAGTGGAGACGATTACCAAGATAACCAAAGAGAGAACAGCTTTTGTCGTTCCCAATGCAATAGGACTCCAAACACCCTCCGAAAAGGTCAGTACTCAATCCTGCATAGGCCGATGTGATGCTGCAGAGGGAAAATTAATTTCTTTGGTTGTGAAATGTGAAGGCTGTTTTAGAAAGAAAGAGAATGATGGAGAGAAGGAGCGGGGAGGGGGACTATATGAAGAGAGAAGAGGAGGGGATATCGACTGCTTGAGGTTTAAACTACAAACTGAGTAGTCATTGTAACTGCATGTACAAGCTGGCAAATCTAAACTAAACCTTATTTTTACAGTCCGCCATGTGAGCCTGATGTTTGATATGTTCCATAACTAGGGTAATGATTTCTTATCAAAAGAAGTTGAAAATACCTCAGTTTGATTGCTAGAATAATAATTGCACATTTTCAGGTCCATTTGCCAAGAACAAAAGCACACATTGTCACTGTTTTCATCCTGAGCAAAGTTCCATGCATATCATCGTTATTGTGATGTTCATCAGTATCAATATATGGACAGATTTTATAATCAAATGCTAAACAACAATGTGGTCCTAAATGTAACTTTTTTTGTTGTTGTGTGCTAAGCAGTATTTTAATCATGTTTTTCTGCTGAAACCATCATACCGCTGGCTGAAAAATATACATTATCATCACTAAATTCAGGCTTGACGGTAAAGTGTTAATAAGTATAATAAATATGGTATCTTTTGATTACATGAATAAAATGATTCATAATCATAAATTGTTTCCTGATCAATATTCAGGTAAGCATGACTGTCTGCCAAAATACTCCTCCCTTTTAAAACTTATTGCTAATAATCTCATTTTCATGATTAACTTGTAAACGTGACACCATTATTCACATATAATGTGCGGGGCTGTTGTATTACCAAGTGACACATTAAAAGCTTGGCCCCCAGGCATTCCTTCTTCTTTCAAAGTCTGGCGACAAGGGTTGACATTTGATGGTACTGTTGTCATCATCGTCCGGTGATTAAAGTGCCAGAATCCACCCAATCTACAAATGGAATCATTTCCACTTCTTCAAGAAATGATGACCCATTTTCTATTCAGACGTACATGTACATGATAATTTGAATCACGCAATTTGAATTAGCTCATATTGGTAATGGAGTACCGGTAACAATTTTAAGTCGATTAGGGATGGGGGGCTGTATCGTCAACCATGATATTATTTGTGATGCGAAAATGCTTTAACCCTTATGGCCTCATTTACATGTGATGGCATTAACCACCTAAAGAAAATGTTCAGTTTAAATGGATGAAAGTGAAGGGGTTAAAGAATATAGATGTATGCAACAAAGTTGCTTCAGTGTACTTACTGCATAGGATAATGTGTCATTTTAAAAGCAGTGTTGAGATACGTCATTTAATGAACCAAAATCACTATATATTATGACTTTTGCCCTCCGGACGTGTCTTTTTGAGCCACTAGACTTTGCTAAGGTCTTTAATATCGGTAAGCTGTCTTTACTTTTGGCACAATGAAATGTTTCAATATAGGAAGGATGTATGTTTAAAGTTGATTTAACCTTTTCCTCTCAACTGCAGCTGGTTTAATATCTAAATTGTTTTTTCTTCATGGGAAGGTGGATGATAGGAATATATTATATTTGTTCTAAACCATTGAAACCTGACATTTTGACGAGAGTATATATATAGGCTATTGCACAGTGGATGGTTTCAAGTTTAATTAGTATCCTAGCTCCTTGTCTCAAGGACATTGCACTTATATACAAAAGCAGTGGTTGTTTATACAAGCAGTTTAATTTTGTTTTGTCTCAATAACATTCTATTATATAATTGCAGTGGTTGATTATACAAGCAGTTTCATTTTCTTTCTCTTTGAAATTCATCAATGAAAGTCATCAATGCTTGACTCTTTCTTTCTTTCCTAAATGATCTTGAGTGCTAGGACAGGATGGTATTACATAGGGAATGATGCTTCTTTACTTTACTTTGAACTTTCTCACCCGACCGATCGAAGCTGATTAAATAATATATGAGGCTCTTCAATTCTGCCTTGAGTGTTTGATTGTGGGGGTAAAGCACTCTCGGATTCAGATCAAAGACAAAAATAAGGACTTCTAAATTCTAGATTGCTCAGCAGGCGCATGTGATGTAAGCCTATGGCCTGTGGGAGTCAGCTAGATGATCCCTCTATTAAGCCTATAAGAATACAGGGGTTAGCCCTACAGGAATTCAGTAGTTTTAGTATTTTTAGCTTATTGGGAATCATAGGATTCTATAGTCTACAGATTAATCTTTCAATGCCATAGGCACTCTTAATTTATAAACCATTTTCCTACAGAATCTTGGTAGCTCTCGTAGGCAGTTAGAAACGTTGACTACAGGATCTTGGTAGCTCTCGTAGGCAGTTTGAAACCATTGCCTACAGAATCTTGGTAGCTATCGTAGGTAGTTTGAAACGTTGCGTACAGGATCATGGTAGCTATCGTAGGCAGTTAGAAACGTTGACTACAGGATCATGGTAGCTCTCGTAGGCAGTTTGAAACCATTGCCTACAGGATCGTGGTAGCTCTCATAGGCAGTTTTAAACGTTGACTACAGGATCTTGGAATCTCTTGTAGAAATTCTCAAAATCGATTTTTATGATATCACAGCTTCGGTACTCTATACAATGTTTTTCAGTCTGTATACATCCCTTTCCATATTTGAACTCTGAACAGGTTATTAATTGACAGTTGTAAGTCATACCCAAAACTTCAAATTCTTCAACCTTCATAATCTCTTGTTATTGAACTTGAAACCAGGACTTGTCGGTAAACATTTAAACAGATAATAACAGGAATTTTGCCTCTGGCGTCGTCTACTGAACAAAAGGAAATTTAAGATCAGGTGAAATTGACCTTCTAATGACCTACTATAAAAACTTGTTGAAGTATGAAAGGTCATAGCCAAGTATCATGCAACACAAAAAACAGGAATTTGACTATTTTTATATGACTATTCCCTTATTGCTTCCTGTGTAGCAGACTGTGATCTCCGAGAGGAAACAGAATGACCTATTTAAAAAACAAAAGGAACAAAAATGTTTGTGCATCTGTAAGTAGATTGCTAGAAAAATATATGGACTGGGTTATGTACACGTGGATGCTGGCCTGCATATGACCTCCATTGTGTTATATTATGGTGTTAAAAATGTGTTTTTCTTTGCAGGAGCTTTGTGAGATTCCATTACATTGATGCCCATATTTCTATATTTTTGATCAGAGCTCTTTTTTCAGTTTTAAAGCTCTTATAGAGCTTTCCAGCCAGTGATGATCTCTTGCCACTCCTGTGTTTGTTTGTTGGTTGTTGTTTCTTTATACTGCAAACTATATAATTTTCATATTATTTAGATGATTATTCTAGATGAAGGGTTTTCTTTTTTTGTCTGTTGAGAGCCAGAATAGGGAAAACTCTATGTGAATGTATAAGATTTAAATGAATATATGTACAAATTGAAATCCTTGGCAAGACTACCACATTGCTTTGAATACATTTACATACATTTACATACATTTAACATACATTTTACTTACATATTGTGTGACAAAAGTTGAGTGTGGCATCCTAGAGTTTGTTCCATTCATCAACCAAAGCACTTGAAGAGTTAATGCCCATCTGGTTGTTAACAGATGAACAGCCCTCATTTAATATACTGGACATTTGGATCTAGACACTACTAACTTAAATGAAGGGTATTTTAAACTTAACTTAATTACCATAATATTGAATGGAAATTACTTAAAATTAACTAGTAGCTATACAAAGATTACACTAAATTTTTCAAAGGGTAATACATTTTTTTTGTTTTATGTATGGACCATTATTAAAGACCATTGTGAATTTTATCTGCTCAGAGCCAGAAGGGCATTAGCTCATTTACCATAGGATTTACACTTTTCTAGCTCTCAATAAACAAGCTACAATGTATTTATTTATTCAATAGTTTTCCTGTCAAGTATATAAACTCTTGCCTATCCATGTTTAGAGCCAGAAATTAACCTATTTCTTACAAAAGTAAACTAGATCACATTGATTTTATTACTTTAGGGAATTATTGTACTACCGGATGTTGTTGAAAGTACTATTTAATTAATTTTCGGCTCTGATGCTAAATCATAAGTAATCAGGAAAATTAATACAAAGTACACAATTCTGTCTCCCAAAAAGATGATCTTGGGGTATATTAGTCTTTGTGCATTTTGTGAATGCATAAAAAGAAAGAAATATTAAAAAAATATTTTTGCAACCATATTTTGTTTTCTTGAAATGTCCTCTTTTGGGAGGCTAGAGGTAGTATAGTACAATACATTTTTGCTCAATTTAAACATTTGTGAAGTATTGAAATGTTAAAAAGTGAATGCTTCTGGATGATAGCTCTTCAATACAAACAACACCCTCGTCTAAGCCCTGAAAATCACCCCCTACAAAAATTATATAAAAGGCAGATAGGATATTTAGGAATCCCTTTATGTTTGTGAATTCAGTCATTTGAGTATTAACTGGAGCATGAATTATGTATTTTTAAATACAAACAAGAAATTTTTCTTTTGGTGGTGTATACACATGTCATCCCTTTGTTGATTTGGATTTTTCTCAGTTTTTCTGATATATTGTAAAAGTATTGTTTATAGTAATTTTCCACTTCTAAATATGCATCAGAAAATTTAATTTTGTAGGGACATTGAATATTGCAAAATTCATAATGATCTCCAGTTTTAATTAATTAACTACAAAAAACTGAGTCATTCTTTTTTTCAGGAGCGATAGTTTAACATTTCAGATAGGTTACAACATAGAAACTCAGCTTGATTAATGGCAAGATTCTTAAATGAGCTTTGACAATGGGGAGAGACAAAGAAAGAGAGAAAGAGAGAGAGAGAGAGAGAGAGAGATGGAAGAAATGGAAACATGCACACAGGCATTTATGATTGATGGATGGATAGATAGATAGATGGATTGAAATTCAATTGATAATTTATAAATGACTGTATAATTCAATGTATGCACTGGCTCCACTAATTGAACTGATTTCTTCATTACCCTTGTAGTCTTGACTTAGTAAATCAATAGAAATCAATCAGCTAGTTTGCATCTACAAACAGAGCAACACATCACATTTTAAAGGAAATATCAAATATGAAGGATATAATTGTGATGCATACATGGAAGGTTATTTTCTGACATGTGTATAAAGGTATATTTGAAAAATAAAATTAAAAAGTAAATAATGGCCAATTATAACGCGCCATATCAACTTGACACTCCTGGCGCAAGTTATAAAGAAATGATGTTGTAACTACAGTACAGCCTGTGTTATACAAGCAATGGTTCTATATACAGCAATCTCTTCTCTGAAGAAGATAAATATGTAGATAGAAACATGCTTGATGACTGTATAGTTGAAAGCCAAAAGGTTGTTATGTGACAATGTATTCTATAAACACTGTACGTGTAAAGTAAGTTTATTGGGAGGAAAGGACACAGTTTTATAGACCTACATTTGTCATACTATTTGTCTTTCCCAAGAAAGGTCAACTCGACAAAATATCGAGTAGTAGGATTATGCCTAAACCCTGTATTGTATAAATGCATAGGTGTACAATACTACGTCATGGTCGACTTGCCATGTGAATGGGTTATTAGTATTATATGACGTACCATAGTTTAAAGGGTGATTTTGAGCAACGTGTTCATATCTATATATTTCAACCATGAATGAAACATATCTTGATATGACTATGACCAAAGGTTAGGGTTACCAGAAAGCACCATTCTTTAATGGTCATATCATCTGTTTGGAGCCAGAAGGGCATTAACTCAAATACTTTAACTTGATGCCCTGTTGCCAAATAGACTTATCACACAAAACATTGTATAATGATCCCTTTGTGAATGGGGTTTTAGCTTTATAAGGTCACTTGGAAAGGATGGCCATCAGACTAAATAGTTGATGCTCTATTGCGACTTATCACACAAAACATACAATGATCCCAGTCTTAAATATATATATATATGTTGTTAGGTAACTATGAAAGTTCTGCATATAGACTTGTTGTTGCTCTGTCGCTGTATAGTTTTCACACAAAATGTTGTACATGTATAATGATCCCTGTCTGAATGGGGTGTTTGGTCACTGTGGAAGGTCAGCATTTAGACCAGTTGGTTCACTAATCTCATTGAACCACTTTTAACAAGTGAGGGTTATGCCAATCCAATCTTAATCAGATTAGGTTTGTCATTTTAGATGGGTACTGCTCATATCATATCCCCCGCAAAATAGTTGTGTGATACACTTCTGTACAACAGGAGCTGATGTATACGACGTCTCGTTATACGACGTATCGTTATTAAGCATTAACACACACACAGTTTCATTATAAACTATCCCGAAACTGTATTACCGTTTCAGGATAGTTATACAATGAATTTGTTATGTGTGGACATGGGAAAAATTGATTAAATGAGAATTTTTGTGATGATGCAATAATTTGAGAATTAAGTGCAAGATTGACATGCCTGACTAGTACCTGGGTAAGGACACAAAAATGTAGCACTTTTGTATTATAAAGGCTTTATTATTTGTCTTACAAGAAGGAAATTATTTTTTTGATAAATGGGAGTTTGTACTGTCACCTTCCTGTGCATATTTTTTTTTAACTTCCAAAATCCCTACTGCTTTGTTTTTGTATGGTATCTTTGAAATACAGCTTTGTTGCAAGGAATTGCAAGTTCCAGGAATTGTTCATTATTTTTCGTTGTACGGCTTCCTTTTGATATTCAAACTTCATTTTTTTGCAATAAGACAATAACGTTGTCATAAATGTCAAGGTTTTTGATAATTTCAAATAAACATAGCTTGTCCTGTTCCTCTCAATTGATGGATTTTCCTTTTTTTTCTTCTTGTTTTCTTGCAGCACATCTTTGGATCGTTGCTTTCAAGACATTCCACTCATCAGCTTCTCTACAGAGTCTGGAAAAATGCCAAGGGTGAGACAGAGGTAAGTACCCGCAAACAAAACAATTACTCCTGACGACGGATTGTCAACCTGTTCGAAACGTCGAGCCACTCCCGCCACCCATCCTCCCCAAGCGCTATAGTTCTCCTTAGAACTGTAAGCTAAGAAAGATAACCAACAGTCTTTTTCAAGACTACATCAACAGTCATTTTCAGGACTACACACCCTCAAGAAAGATTACAGAGAGTCCTTTTCAGAACTCCTCAATCCTCCCTCTCTCTCATATGGTGCATCCACAAGCCTACTACATATCTACATCACCATGCAAGCCGATACTTACAAGCAGCATCTAAAACAATTATGCATTGAAATGACTGGAAATTGAACAGCATGAATTGTCTGATGATAAGGGCTTGAAGGATATTGCATCTAAATAAGAGCCAGAAGGGTGTTAACTCTTATTTTCAAATTATTTTTTATTCAATGTGCTCTGACACAGTGTTATCCCCACTGGTTCTTAAAAAGCACAACTGACTATTTATTCAGTTTCTAAGGGGCAGAAGGGCATTTATTTATCAATGGATGATATTATCAAAACATTTTGACATGGAGTTAACTCCTTATGACTCTCAGGCTAGTGCTACTGAATGTTCATTTACCAACTAGGTCATGTAGGTGTGGGCTTGCGGCCTCGTTGACAGGGTCTTTTCTATTTCCATTTTATTTTAAAGTGAGAATAAGGGGAGTGACATAGGTATGTAGTAAATGAGTTACACATACTGATGTTTACTGAGAATCAGAAGGGTATTAACTATGTGTTAAGATATATGGGTTAACGTCCTTTCAGCTCTCAATCGATGACATGCAGCCTACACAGTTAGGTATGATGGAGTGAGTAGACAAACAGGTGCGTGATAACAATCTCACATTGCACATACTTTGAACCCATAGATGTTTAGTATTTAGGCATGGGTTCATGGTTTATTTAGGCATGGGTTCATGGTTTATTTAGGCATGGGTTCATGGTTTAGGTCATTAAAAGTTTTAGACAGAAGCCATGTTCAGATGTGGCTTCTTGGTCATTGTGAGAACAATGCTATTAATAGACAAACATAGGGGTACAATGAGATAGGGTACCAATGAGAATCAAACAGACAAATTGATAGCTAAAGGGTGGAATGAATGAGACAATGAAAGCAAGGTCTGAAAAACATCTTTAGAGAAGCTCTTCTTGCTCTAATGTAGATTTCATGTGCTTTTGGCCAGAAGGATATTAATTCAATATCTTCACCATTGGCTTTGAATATGAAAAGAATCATTCCTGGATTTTCAGAAAAAATGATCAATTAAGTTTTGGGGAGAAATGAACGTTAATTTCCAAGTCGAATGGTAAGAATGCTATTTTTTTTAACCAATTGTATCCCATTACAAATACCCTGAATACCATTAACACTGGAGGTTTGGATTTACATTAAGTGTTCTGTTGTGAAAACTATAGGAGCCAGTGTTCTTCTACTATTTGAATATGAAATGAGATTATTATTTATCTTTTATTCTCGCCTTCTCTTGCAGTCGATGAGCCCTAGCTCCAGCCAGCAAGGGGATAGTGATGAAGACGACATTCCAGGAGACAGTGATGATGTAAGAGGACTGTTAAAAAATGTACCCCAAAATTTAAGAGAAAGTTGATTTGTGTTGCAGATGAAAAATTAATTTACAAATTCTTTCAATTTGTTCATTCCTATAGCAATGTCATATTGTTACTTTAATTAATTAATGAAGTTTTGTTCCAGTTCTGTCTTTGTTTCCCTTGATTTAGGCAGTTCATATTTTGATTGATAAGCACAGTTTGAGATTGAAAAATGACTTTTAAGGCATTTAATGATATTTGGTACTCATACAAACATACCTGGGCCTTGTTTCATTAAACTTGTTATAAATAACTGTTATAAGTTACTGAAGTCATGCCATTTCATAGGCTGAGAGCAAATTTGTCCAAAGAAATTAAGCATTTGTGATTGATAACATGTATTATAAAACAGAACCTTGATTTAGACAGTAATCTCGGTTTTGTAAAAACTGGCATAGGTAATCATTGTTATCCTGACAATACGATAAGAATTTCTCTTGAAATGTGCTCTCTTAAAACAAGTTTACCTCATCTTTTAGAGATGAGATCCTCCTTTGTTCTTCTATCATTTGTAATTCTCCTTTCCTCGCTACTATCATCCATCCTGTTTTTCTCTCTTGCAGGAGGACGAGCTAGATTTGGAACACGAGGGTCCCAACGGTCGCGTTCTGCCTCCAGTCAGCGTGCATGACTATCAGAGATTGGAACCTTCGCGTTTCTCAGGTAAGCCCTTCAACCCTGGCCCCTAGACGCCCCTAGAGGGCTGCCATTTTAAAGGTGACAGTTAAGACTAGATTGGAAATTGCCAGAAGCCTCATTCATAATTCATTTTGTAAGATGCTTACCTCTGTGTAGATGCTTAGTTTACAGTAAGGTGCATATTGGCATCAAGCAAATCGTAATGGAATGCATCAAATTATGCATTCTTTGTTGTTCAGGGAATTCGATTACGTCAAATGCGTGTTATTAAAAGCATTATCCTTAGGATCGGAATCGACAAAGTTGCTTTTGGAAAATTTAATCTTCTTTGTCAAATTTAATTTCTGTTCATTATAAAAAGGCAATATTACTGCCTTGAATTATTTAGTCTTTGAAACGTTTGTTCCAATTAAAGGCCTAGGTTCTTCTAGGAGCATAAACAAAATATAAAATCAAAGCATGAAGTATGCCTCTAAATTGGGGAAGCTTAGTCCAATTCGTATAGTCCTTCAGGCTTACTTATATGTTTATAGCTTTTAATCCATTGCCTATGATAGCTGGGTGGTCCATGTATTAAGCTTATGGCAATTTAGAATTCAGTAGTCTTTGGGTTAATTTGCTTATTTCTGTAGGCCCATATACCGTGTATAATTTCCCTTGGTGCATAGACATAATATAAAATTCAAAGCCGGAAAAAAAATGCCGTCAAAGTATTAATCCTTTAATGCTCTTGGCGAGAGTTGCCCTTTGGTCTTTGTCAACTTTTGATATGAATCTTCACACCATCTCATCAATCAAGTAAATCTTAAAATATTCCCATTCTGTCTTCCTTTGTCCTCTCGGTGCCGTTACCTAGCAACCAAGATGGCCTATCGGCAGCAGGTTGCATCATTTAGATTTAAGAGAGAAAAGAAGTTTCAGGCCTGGCCTGAAAGAATCTTGATTTACATTTTTGTTTTTGCATACTTCAGGCACCAAATGCTTGATGTGCAGTGGTATCTTTCTCCATAAGAAGGCATTATGACTACCTTGCATAATTCATTTTTTAGATGTTGGTCCCTAGATTTATAGGCATCTAGATGTTTCTTGTGGAGCTTATACAAAGAAGAAAATAAAAGACACGGCTGAAACTCCTCTCAAATGGCATTTCCTGATATAAAAGAAATCAAGAGAAATGATATGCTTTACCAGATGAAATAAGGATGTTCTTTTCATAATCAACGCCTTGAAAGCATGATTTTCAGCCACTAGATGGCAATATGGCTACTTTGAATAATTTAATATTATAGATTCTCTATCCATATTCCTATAGAAGTTTGTCATGAATCATAAACAAACTATAAAATCAAAGCATTGTCAGAAACCTGTCAAATGGCATTGCCTAATGTAACATTACGTCAGAGAAATGACAGGCCTTACCGGATGAAATCAGGATTTAGATTCAAATCTCTAAGTAGAAAGATCAGCTATTTAACTGTGTTCACTAGAAGGTGAAGATGACTATGTTTTGTTTTGTTTTTAGATGCTTCCTTCATAGGCTTTTAGTTGTTTCTCAGGAAGCATAAAAACAGAGTATGAAATCAAGGCATGTGCCAGCACCCTCTTAGATTGCAATAATTGAACATGTAATTAAATCAATTATATGCCATGCTGGATGAAATATGGATTTTTTGGTTGTTGCACGCTCAAGGTTCCCCAGGGTTCTCCTCCATTAGAAGGTTACCGACTTGAATAATTTATATTTTGAGATGCTCCTACCACTTCTTAAAATCTGAAGGCCTATAGATGTTTCTCATGGAGAATAAATATAGTTTAGAAGCTAGGCATGTGCCCCAAAATTGTCAATCATTTACAACCATTTTTGGATAAAGTACTGTTGGTCAATTATTGCCCTTTTGACAATTTAAGTCAGTAGCATGTAATTGATAATTTAAAGATTTAATTTTGCAGGAGAAGAAAAATTAATGCAGAAACAGCTTAATTTATGTATTTCTTCAATGCTTATTAGCAATGGAAAGTTCAGATACATTTATTGTGCTGCGCAGAGCCGTGCTAATCATGTCCTTTTAGGGTTATGGCTCGAGGCGACGAGACAAAAGGCCCCACATTTCTAGCTTATTACAGAGCCTGAATTAGCCTTCATTGCTTGTTCATGTTGTCTTTATTAAAGAACATGTGACTAATCATACTTGTTTTTAATACGAATTGTAAATGTGCAGCCAGACATGAGACCCCAACAGTCACTGGCCTTCAAATGGGCTAAAGGGTGATTCTATGCAATATTACTCCTTCTGTACAACGTATGTCCCTTTTGGCCATATTGTCACAAAATGAAGAATCTTTTGATATGACCATTGAAAGATGGTATTTTTCTGGTTTCACTACCATTAAGTTATTATCATATTGAGATATTTTTTATTCATGGATATTATGTGGGTAATTGGATACATTGCAAGGAAGAACAATGATGCAAACATAATCAAAGATCATGTGATTAATCAAGTGAATATGATTTGGCATTGGGGGAAGAAAAGAAGAAAGGGGACTGTGAGAGAGGAAGAGGATAACGAAGTGGAAGGATGAGGAAGAGGGTGAGGAAGAGATGGAGAGAGAGAGATAGAGATAGAGATAGAGATAGAGAGAGAGAAAGAGAGAGAGAGAGGTAGAGATTGAGGAGGAAGGAAGGAAGAGGACAGGTGAGGGAGGGATGGATAGAGGAGCAGAAATACAGAAATGGAAGAGTAGGGAGAGGAACTCAAAATAAAGATAAAAAAGAAGAGAGTTCTAAAAAAAAGAATGGAGATAGAGAGTGAAGCCAGAGAGAGAGAGAGAGAGAGAGAGAGAGAGAGAGAGAGAGAAACAAAGGAGAGAGCGAAAGAGAGAGGGAGAGAGAGAGAGAGAAAAGAGAGCTGGAGAGAGAAAGGGAAAGCAAGAGAGCAAGCAGGTTGGAATGAGAGCTGGGGGTGTGTGGAATGTTGTCACAAATCGTTATAAAACTCATCCATCTGTCTAATATATGTATATGTCTTGCAGCAGCAGCATCAAAGCTTATACCATATTCTCATCTCACTTTCACTCCATTTCCATTCCTCATCAGATTCATACGGGGGCGGGTCTCATCCTCATCAGGGTAGCCCTCGGCAACCACGCCTACCCTCCGACCAATCACATTCCATGGGGGACTCGCCCGATCAGGGCCACCGGTCACATACGGGCTACCATCATCAGCTCTGTCAGAGTGAGTCCTAGCTGCATGCTTGGAATAGATTTTATTTGTCTCTCTGGAAAGATGTTACAGATATTATTACTATGAGTTACCATGACAACAATCATGCATATCATCTTTTTAATCTGCATAATTGTACATTCATTCAAACAGATTATATGTTTTGTCATCTCTTGTCCGATGCAGCACTATGCATGTACACCACAGATCATATTAAAGATAGAGGGATAATATTTCTGCTATTCTAAATAGATGAGGAAGATAAGTGACATTGCATGACAATGTAGCCGCTACTTGATTATTTGAGTGTTGAATGTCGATCAAGGGTACATTAGCAAATGTCAGATATCATATTCATTTTGTATAGATCCTGCAGATAAAAAAAAAAGTAAAGTGAGGAGAAAAGTGTAGCTTGAGGCTGATAGTAAAAAATAATAATAATAATAGTAGGTTCTTGCTCATGTCTGCTGGACTTGACACTCCTAGTGCACCACAATTCTTATGGAGCTCTCACACTCTGCCGTGTAGGCCTACCGTCCACCTGCCGGGCTATTAAAAAAACAACAGAGTCCAGAACGTTGGGTTTTGAGCGAACTTGTCCCCAGTCGCAAAAAAACAAATCATAAAATCAATCTTTTCACCGTTTCGTTGCCATCTTCTGACCGTTCTCACCGGGCGCATACCGGGTGTTAAACGTGCTTCTACCGTCTTCACCGCCCAGATTGACTTTTGTTGAAAATTTTGGCCGTTTCCATACCGGGCCCATACCGGGTCTCGAACGTGTGCACCGGGTTTGTAGCAGCCACCTACCAGTCACTTAGCATCCCCTCACCGCTCGGAGCGTCCTGTGAGCGAGTCCCCGGACTGCTGACGTCATGACACGACTGCCATAAATACCCCGATTTGAACGGCAATGGTCAGTCCGCTCTCCATTTTTCATCACCGTTCTGTAACGGGTTATGAGCGTGTTGTGAACGTGTTCATACAGTGTGACCGTTTTCATAACGTATTCATACCGTCCTCATACCGTTCAACACCGTCCTCTTGCCGCTTACTTGCGGCCGGTGCCAGCCGGCCAAAGTTTTGAACATGCCCAAAACTTTTGCCGGGTCCCACCGGGTGTAAATAAGCGCCAACGCCCTATTAACGTGTTGCCCGCTTTGATAACGAACCACCGTGTGCCCTCGCCGTTCTCCACCGTCCACAGACATTTTCGCGCACAGTGGCACACGGTAGGCCTACACGGCAGAGTGTGAGAGTCACTTTACCCTGGCTTTAGCATGGCTGCCATTAGTAGCACACTATCATTCAAGGAATTAATTCCTGCAAGGTACCCATTCACCTCACCTGTGTGTCAAAGTTAGATTAATGTCCAGCCAAAGGACATGAGGGCCTCGTGAGGACTCAATTCGAACCGCAAATCATGTGATGTGATCCACAGTCCGATGACCTGTCCACTAGACCACGACATCATATTTATATTGATGTTGATGAGTTAATTCCTTGCATACCATTGCAAGATTGATATGATAGATTGTGTCACACATTTAAGCTCAAACAGATGCTCTAAAGTTTACTGATAGTTTATACCCTGAGCAAGCATTGAAATTAAAGTAGCAATCAGACTAGCAATGTCCTCCCACTCACTGAATTGAGTCAATACCAATCACTTCTCCACTTCACATTAACTCTCCACCCTCTTGAAATATAGTCATCGTGAGTGGTAATTGAAATAGTTTCATATTGTCATAGTTGGATCACAAGATACTTGTACATATGGAAGATATTTGAATTTTCTGTGCATGATTAAAGGTCAATGTTGAGTATAAATATCTGAAAGAAATGCCAGATGCTCAGAATTTTACTTAAAGATAAACCAGAGCATTGAAATTGAAGTAGCAATCAGATTAGAATTCTACTCCCACTTACTAAACTTGATTCATTTGTGATCACATTCCATTTCCCATTCCCCTCCATCTCCTCTTGAAATACTTGTAGTGGTAGGGGATTGAGGAGTGTTAAGTACGGTCTCATGTTGTTGTACTTGTTTGAGTATTTAGATGCTTAATCCATGATTTCCAAAGAATCTTAGTGTAAATATTCTAAAGGAATGCTGGATGCTGAGAGAGTTTACCCATAGATAAACCAGATCATTGAAATTCAATTAGCAATCAGATCAATAATGTCCTCCTACTTTACTAAGCTGTTTCATTACCCAAATGACCTCTCCACTGCACATTCCCACTCCCCCACGTGACATTCCCCCTCCCCCACCTTGCATTCCCCCTCCCCCACCTCGCATTCTCCCTCCCCCATCTCTGTAAATATAGCAAACATTAGTGGTAGCAAGAGAAAGTTTGAATTAAGAATGTCATATGAAGTGATGGCAAATGCAGATTCATTCAATAACACACTAATGTTTCAGCCATTAGAAGACAGAAATGTTCTTGTGAAAAGTTGACAGCACTGGCACTGCATCATGTGTTCTTACTCAACAGTTGTTTCCCTATTAAAGTCTTTGATTTACTTTGGTGTATACACTACATTCATGAGCACATACATAACTCTAATATTTTGTCTGTATATTTTTTTTTATAACAAAGTATTATTTTCTTTTACCTTTTTTTGGCAGTGTTATGTTCAGTCAGCATATTCAAGTCCATTATGAGGCTTGGGAGCTCTCTCAAGCAGCTACCTCAGTATCAACCTTTCTTACTACTCATTGGCATCTTGTAAGTACCTCAATGCTTAAAGGGAAATCTAACCTTAAAGGTATTACAAAGTTTTGGTATGGGGTCATGAATTTGGTTCAAATTAACATATTGGTTAAAGACTAGTTAAAGTTTGAAAGAAATCTGAAAATTTTTGTTTTTTTATATTTTTGAATCTTTAAAACAAAAACAATGTTTTTTTTTAAATCTTTAAATCGGTTGAATTGGTAATGACATTGTGATGTAGTTTCACAGGAGATTCAGGAGGGCCTGTAGAGGACCTGTAGTAAGGTACTATCCATAACATATTTTGAGTAGAGCTCTAAAGGAGAAGATACTTGAGAGAAAATAAGAAGTTAATGATAGTTTTGTAAATGGCAAACAGGAGAGTTGTTTTTGACTTTGTCACAATCCATTGAGGATTTGAGATTCGCATAGCTATAGTGATTTTATATTTCAAACATTCATTGATCCAATTTATTTCAAACTCTTGCCATCCTGTTTCTCTTGTTTATCTGCTTCCATATAAATGGATTTATTACAAGCGTTGGATCGCACTTTTATAGAGAGGGGTTCCTTTATTTATTCTTCCATTTATTTATGCATTATACATTTACTTATTTATTTGTATCAATCTCTCTTTTTCCTTATAAGTATCCTGTTCTTATCTTTGCTGTAGACAGATTTTATCCATTAATTTATAGAGTCCCAAATGTCAACCTCTTTTCCCTGTAAAAATCACCATAATTTTGTTCAAAATAATGATACAAAACTTGTCGATTATATTGATTTTCAATTTCAACAAAACAAGTTAGTAACTGATTAAAAAAATAGGGTTTGAAGATTAGCCTTCCTTGAGTCATTGAACTTGGCTAGAGCTAGATTTAACCGAGGCCACTTCCAAGAATATGGGCCACAAGGTATGTATTTATACTTGTATATACATTGTATAACTTTTAATGAAATTAACAACAACAATTTGAAATTAATATTTTATTTCTGGCGTTGCTCCACCTAGACTTCTGTGCCTGACCTTCTCTGCAGCAGTACTGTCTATAAGGATATGGCGGCTACAACCACACATGGCCACCCCATCACAAACATCAGCCCATGAGTCCGTCCACCTTGAAAGGTAAGTCCCTCAGATAGGATGTAAAGGTTTAATGTACATGATATCATGATCCAATCCAATCCAGGAATTTATAAAGCGCAAATATCTAGTTGCCTAATCAAAGGCGCTGAAATGATGTAGTAATCATGGGTTTCACTTAGCAATTAGAAATTTAGAGGGAGAGCAGAGTGTGGTAAAAACTTGGCATGAAATGCACTATAAAAGAACAAATTATTATTATTTATTATTTCTGTTACCCTTCAGCCCCTCTCCCCCCTCCCCTCCCCTTCCTTTAACACTGACTTTACCATTAGCGTTTATTGATTTTCATACCAAATAATTGTGAATCTGCACTGCTTTAAAAATAAGAACTCTTACTACCCCCCCCCCCCCTAATGCTAGTTGCACTGCTAATAGTTGCTTTAAAAAGTAATCAATTTTCAAGTTCAAGTTCAAGTATTATTTATCTTTCTTTCATAAGACACTTTACAAAGTTTCTATCTTTTATTGATAATAAAAACTTCAAATAACAACCGATAATTACCAATTAGCAGTTTAGCTTATGATCATGTCTTTATCAGTACTTTAATAAGTCTTTAATAGTACGTTCTTATTGAGCGCTTTTCAGGACTGCAAGCCCTCTCAAAGCGCTTTACAAATATATTATTATTACCCCGGTTATCGGATTCAGGCTTACCTGCACACAATGTATGCACATTCTCCACTCCCTTGGGAGCATTCCAGCCAGGCGCCATTTTTACAAGTGCACACTTGCTCATCTAACCACATTAACTTTCGCATCCTATCTGGGACCCATTTAACACTTGGGTGGAGAGTGGCAAATGTAGATCAATGTCTTGCCAGCGACATTAATGCCTCAGCGGGACTTGAACCGCAGACCCTGTGATCCACAGTTTGGTGACATATCCACTCAACCACGACACCTCTATTTTAATCAGTTATAGTTTACTGGAGGCGCACACAAGTAGTTAATTCCATTCAACTCAATTGCATTGCATTGTATTGTATTAATAATATTTTATTTCATTTTGTTGCTTTTAAGGTATTGAACATGTTGAATAATTATAAGTTAGACCTGTGCGCTTAGAAACGTCTGTATAAAGCGCCCTATAAATGTAATTATTATAATTATTATTATTATTATGATAATATCTTGTTTTTGAGTGTTTATCTTGATGATATTATCTTGTTTTTGTGTGTTTATCTTGATGATTATATTTTGTTTTTGTAAGTTTATCTTGATGATTATATCTTGTTTTTGTGTGTTTATCTTGATGATAATATCTTGTTTTTGAGTGTTTATCTCGATGATATTATCTTGTTTTTGTGTGTTTATCTTGATGATTATATCTTGTTTTTGTGTGTTTATCTTGATGATTATATCTTGTTTTTGTGTGTTTATCTTGATGATTATTTTTTGTTTTTGTGTGTTTATCTTGATGATTATATCTTGTTTTTTAGTGTTTATCTTTATGATTACATCTTGTTTTTGTGTGTTTATCTCTTGACAGCATGGAGAGCATTGGGGATCTCTTCTTATTAGAGCAGCATAAACACCAAGAGAAAGTATCTCATATACAGGATACGCTATCAGCTAATCTCAAAACATTATTACAGGTATCTATCATCTTCTTGCTCTAAAATATGGTTACCAACGTAATAGGACATGTTATGACAAACAGTCCCTTACACTTTTCTAATCAATAAAAAAAAAGATATATATATATATATATATATATTATATATATATAAAACACATTATATTTGATAGAGTGATGAATGAACCATAACCTGTTAATTCTGCTTGGGTAATGTTTCCTTTTGGTCTTTATATGTAGTATTTCCGCTCTCTATGCGTTAATTAACCTTCTGAATTATGTCATGGTTTGTTTTGGGGGATGATAATCTTTGGTAAGAAGTCTCCTTTAAATATGAAATGAGTATTATGAAATGACAGTTATTAAATCTATGGGAAACAAACAGATTTGAATACAAATATTCATCAGGAATGCCAGTTTTTAGGCCATATCCTGATTTCAGTCGTGTGTCCATTTAATTTCTTGCTTTTTTCAGGCTTCATTTTGTATAGCAATAATAATAATAATATTCTGTGTGTATATAGTGCTTAATACATCAAGGATCTCTAAGCACTTTGAGATATATATGTATTTATGGATGGATCAGTGTTATTGAGTTTTTAAAGACGTGTATCAATCAGATAAGATCATTTATGTCTGGGGACTGATCTTTACTGTCACCATCCGAAAGACGCGACTCGTTTCGAACCTAGGTCCGATCAAAATCAGCTTGTAGGCAAAGACATAGAGCTGACCCCAGACATTACCCCTAGACCAACTCATATCTCCATAAAGACTTAGGATGCTACATGTCTGAGCCTCACTAGGTGAAATTAATCTGTATCCCTTGTTAATAATGTTTATGAAATTGAACATATCTTCTTGTTTTGTCTTTTAGGTGCAATTGTCGTTACGGCATCTGAACACAAAGTCGTCGGAAAATACTATTCCACCTCACCACAGCGACTCATCGTCACCGGACAGAGGGAAAAAGGAAGATTTATAGTACCGGTCCTTGGTCTGCTCCTGCTATCCAATCTGCAATCCATTCCACTCTGGACGGCTTCTGTTACCCATCCACCTCAGGATCTCAGGAGCTGTCATTCCTATACCCTCTCACGAGGTTCTAGCAGACCAAACTCTAAAACAATGACCCATTCACTTTGAAGAACTCCAACATTCTTAAACCCTTCAGACATGATGCAGCACACCATCAAATTTTGTGTTGCTGGATGATGACCTAAGTGTACTACACTGCACATTTCTTCATCATCTTGTAACAGAGATCTCAGTGAAGTGGTGTAGGATCTCTTTTTGTCATTCATTTACATGTGAAGAAGACCGCTGCGGGCCTTTCTCCATCATAACTTGGGACCACCAGAATTTGACAGAAAGATTTCTTCAAGGAATGCACCTCATGGTTTTTGTTTTTATGTTCAACATTCCTAAAGCCTCTAATCATGCCAAACATGAATACAAGAAGCAAAAACCACACCACTGTATTTCCTCCTCATCATCATCATGTATTAAAGTCAGAACTTTCACTCTTTTGAGGTTGATGACCTTCACTTCATCTTGTCTCGAGCATCCTCCTCATCGAGCATCCTCCTCATTTAGACCAATCTATGAAACGCACGATGACTGTTAAACTTTGAAAGATGACTCCTTTAGCATATTGTCTAATGGGCCCGAGATCATTTGAGCTGGATACATGTTGTAACAAAGTCAAATCTCATCTTATGGCTTAATACACAGACACAGCTTTTATTTATTTTTAAATATTTTATCGATCAGGATTATTCTTGAACTGGTACCATGTTCCAAATGAACATGGAATGAGGAATAAATATCTATTTTTGGCCAAGTAACTTTTTCCTCTTGTTTGTTTAGTCACATTTTCTTTTGCTTTGTTTACCCATGTACAATGCTTTTAAGGTGTTGTGATATTTAACTATCTTAATTTGCAATATTGTTGTGATTTTAATGGATACAAAACCTTATAATAAACAATTTTAATGTGTATCGTTCAGAACTTTTTCTTTCAAATTGCGATTACCTCACTACTATTTGACACAACCTACATTAAAGCTTCTATCATAGCCCTACTAATTGAAGAAAACTACCGTATTTTTGAAACTCTAAACACTTTATGTAATTTGTAATCTATCGTTCACATTTCCTTGATTTCTTCTAAAAATAGTTGAATTTAAGCCCTTAAAAATGAGGATTTTTAGAGCTACAATTTTACAAATTTAGATTTATTCAGACTCTTTCAAAGTTGATTGACCATGAAAAATTATTAATAATAAAAATAAAATGAATAGAAAAAAACTATAAATTACTGGTACAACCTTTTATGATTAAACGCAATACGGTGCTACCAGCAATATAAAGTGATTTTTTTATGTAGGCAATGAATTATTCTAATTGTATTCAAATTAAAAAGGGCTGGTACTTAATTATGTTTAAAAATAGTAATGGGAAGAAGATCATAGGCTTGTCCTTGTAAAGGAATTGGATACTTTCATGAGAGCTTTCTCATATTAATGTGGCTCTGTAGCTGCTTATTTTCCTTGGGGTGGGGGCTATGTCACAAACTTCATTCCAGATGGCAAGAACAGCAACTATACCAAGAAAAACAATAAAGTGAGGTAGTTCTCCAAAAGGTAATCTTGTCAAATATTATCATCAGCATGTAGTCTCAGTGTGTAGTGGCCAAAGCAATATTAACAATGATGGGAAAAAAGAAGAGCCAATTTTCTCTTTGAAACATACTTAACAGTAAACATATATGTTTTAAAGCAGTTGAGATCAATTTATGAATGATTTACCTCCATTTCCTGTTGACAATGTTTGGTAAGATGGTAGACTGTTGATACATGTTGTGTGCCAAGCAGAAGGATGTAATCCCAACGTTTTTAAATATTTATTTAAAAAAAAGTTTGATTGCTGCAATGATGATTTGGATCAAGTAAACCCATTTTCAAGATGTAATATTGAAATAGTCCAATTTTGCATTTTTTGTGAAATATTTATCTGCACATCCATTCACACCCTTTTGACATGCATGTGACACTTCATAACCAACGGGGAGAATGGTTTATTATAAGCATACACATGTACCTGTACTTTAGTGTTTACTTCTACACCAGTGCTATGTCTACAGCACTCATGTGGGGTGGTCGATACATAATGTTGAGGATTGAAATGAAAACGCAGAGTACAATCATGTGAGCAATGTAAATGCAGCTGATTTGAGGGAAATGAGAATTGATGTCGTGCTATGAAACGCACTTGAATGAAAGCCAAATTGATAAATGTGTCAATGTTATAATATTGTTAAATGCACAAATCAAACACAATGCACAGAAGAGATATCACAGTGCAAAGTTCATAGAAGAGATCCTTTAAACTAACATGTTTCCCATGATTATGGATGCAGTATACTTATCACTTGTTATTAATGTATATCTTACAATTTGTATTCTTACCTTCTTTTTTAATCCCCATCTCAACATGAATAAGTACATCAAGAAGATATAACAAACGTAACATCACATGCACATGTACTTCAGTTGTATTCAAACATACTTTAAATATAATTCCAATAAATGAAATACTCAAAAATAGCAAATTGTCAATGGACATAGATGCAAAATGCCATATATCTTGCATTGTACATTACATATTCCAAATATTAGTCTCAGAAGAAGAAACAAGATTCAAATACTCTACGAAAATCTACAAAGAACCATTGCATTTCCATCTCTGATGCTTATACATGTACAACTAGGTTACACTTTAAGACCATGAAAGACATGGGGCTAAGTCCAAGCTTTTCTGTGCCATATATATCACTGACCAAAGCTAAGGATTATCTATTAGTACCCCTTACTAGAGCTTGGAAGTGAAATGAAACATGTCATGTCGACGTATGTTCAGATCTCCACCATACACTCTAATGTATGGGAAACCACAATGACCAAAAGATGTGTTTGGAGCCAGAAGGCAATAACTCTGGATAAAATAACATGACTTAAAGCCTTTCTTTCTCCAAACAGACGAAATAAGTAAGACTTGCCCACATCAGACTTGTATGGATCAATAGCAAACAGTATGTATTCCAATATGTTAGTAAAATGAACAGATAATTATGGAAAAAGAGTAAACTTTAGAGTGTGATTCCGCAATATGAAACTATAAGGGTTGCATATATGTACTTCGTACTAGTATGGATATGTAATATGCATAACTCTGAATGTGACCAATTTAAGTTAAATTTACCAATATATACATGTATGCAGTATCAGGAATAGACCATATTATATCACATCACACATGCCTCTCTCATTTGCATTAATTTGTACAGGGCACCCTTTCTGGCCTTAAAAGAAAACTGTGAACTCTTTATTTAAGGCTTTTTATTACAAAAGAAGTAATGCTATTTTGCATGAATTTCATTCTCTACTTATAGTAGTTACCCAAAGAAAATTGATGACAACTGATAATTATGAACAAATTATATAAGGATGGAAATATTTTCTCTTGAAAAACGCAAATAATTTGCTGGAAAATTCTATAGATATCATAAAAAGGCTTTGTGGCTAGCTGTGTCTTGCATGTGGTGTCACAAAACTTGACGCTCTATCGCTGAAGGCAGAAAATCTGGTTCTCAAAATTAAGAGATGATTAGGGCAGGCTCCAAACATATTTTGTGAATTTTGCATCTATTCATAAAACTTTTGATTCTTTGGGTGACTATCAATATATCTTTTAATCTGTGACAAAAAAACAAAAAAATTATCACTAACTGTCTTTCAGACCGATTTTGTCAACTTTGTAAGAGTGTAAAATTGTATTTGTAGAGAGTTTATGATGTTTGACAAATTATTATGTATGTGACCCAAATTGTATGCTATTATTATAATATATTTGATAAGAAATCTAATTTATAATGAGTGATGAATGTATTTCTACAATGATATATAATGTGAATTGCATGAAAAAAGGTTTTAATTTTGATTGTTACTATTACATTTATCATTTTCATGCTTCTTTCTTTTTGTTATTGCTACAGCAAACAGGAAAAATAAAAACATAGAACTATCTCACACTTAATCAAATGGTTCTGTGAAATTACATGTACCACTATTTAATTTATTATGGTGTCTCAATACACTACATTTTTTGAGTTGTTGTTTTTATGTCTGATGTGTGCAATTATATCATATAAGCCAATATTTCATATTTTTGTCTAGGTTGCACATTCTGTTTTGTATCTTTATGTACCATTCTCTTGATTTGACCATTGAATGCCTGTATGCTTGTTAGTGTTTCTGTTTATGAATATGTTTGACCCTTTTTGTGTGGAAGTTTTACCCTCCAATTATTTAAAGAACTTTCTGTTCAGCAAAATAAAGCATTTTACGAGGAAGATGATCAATAATCTAAAATGAAATACGGTTTAAATTATCATGGTCTGATTCTCATTGGCATTTAATGTCACTCTATTCCATTTCAATGACATCAGTTGTATGCCTAAAGCTAAAAATGCACATAGTAAAGATGAATGTATACAATCGCCTTCTGCATTCTTCACACATGTTTTAAATTGTCACAATTATTGAAATATTTGAATATAAATATTTATAGTATGGTACTTAAATTTTTGTCAAATCATGTGATCATATGATGAAACAGTGAAGTTCCTTTCCTTAGGAAGGTATGTTGTCACAAGATTTTAAATGCTGATTATTTTCTTTTTGTCCAAACACCAAGTACATTAAAGTTTATATATTTTACATACTGCTGTTGTTATAGTAGACTAATAAAATAAAATGCATAGTTGTCAGTATAAATTTGATGGATTTGGCAATCTGTATGTTAAACATTTCAAATGAAAATGTAACCAAATTCACTGAAAATGTTCGAACTTAACCTATCTTCTCCCAAACCCTTTATTAAATATGGGGTTTGGGTTTCAAATTGATACTTGTTTGTAAATATACATGAAATCTATAAGAATTCTATTTAAATGGCCAAAGGCTTTATCAAAGCCAATTAAAGTCAATTAATCAAAGCTTTATGAAATCAGATAGAAAATTATATATATATATATATATATACACATACTACAATCTGTAAATACTTAATTAAAAGTCATACTTTTATGGAAATCATATTTACTCTAAAAAACAAAATGTCATGCAAATGACTACAATCAGACAAATTATAAAGCATCTAATATATATCAAGTATTTTCTTAATTTTTTTTTTTTAATACTTTGTTTCTTTCTCTCTCCTGAATTACTGGTTTGCCCTTAGTAAAAGGAAAAGGAAAAGAGAAAGTCATAGTAATGCCACTACCACAATGAAATCATACCTTCTATCCTGCAGCATATGAATATTTAATGATGGATAAATCCTGGCAATCGATTCCTGTCATATTTATGGACTCTTATTAGCAATTGAATTTGAACTTAACTTGGCTTGCTTGCATATCAAAACTATCATTAATTATGTTCAGGATTAATCAGATTAAGCAAGAATAAACACAATATTACTTGTATCGTTGTGTTATCTAATGAGTCTAAATTTATGATCGAACATTCCTTAATATAACCTAGGAAGAGTCAAAGATTTTGTTTGTATGGTTTCGGTTTTATCTGCAAAGACATTATCGTTGTTTCAAGTCATCATTATTTTTTGTAAAGTCATAAACCCATCGGCATCACTTTGCTTGTAATGTCGTTAAAGGCTTTTATATGATTTTATTTTGTTTGTTTTACTTGTAAAGAAGTCTTTTACTTGTGACATATTGCTGACAGTTTATGACGTTCTTAAGTAGTCTAGCATGCTGCCAACAGAATCGATTTGTCCTTCTGGTTTTGTCAGGCAATGTATCAAACCTTATAGCATTTATTTTAAATAATGGCATTGTAAAATAGCAAATTAACATTTGCTCCGCACAATAGCACTACATTTCGTCACACGCATTTGTCTCTTCTTACCCACTCTATAGAACACAAATGTTCACATCCAGACGAACGAGTGGCTTTTAAACGATTTAACATTTATTTTCACACAAAAAAAAAAATCACAGAGCAGTATGATACATGTACATTAGGTCGTTCAAACCAGACAGTTTTGCTTCCCTAATATGTAAGCCAGAGCTGTGAAATATTGTTTTGTTAAATGTTTTTAAGAATAAGTAGCCAGTTATCGTTTGAGAGTTGTTTTGCTGTAATAGGATATAACAAACACCTGCAAGCAAAATTCCCTGTATGGAGAGCAGAAAATGCATAACACGTTCTAGAAACTACATGATATTTTGTAAAGCTGGCAAAGATGGTTTCAGAGTATGCAAATGCCTCCTGAATATTTTGATGTTGTTTGTTTTAAAGTGTGTCTTCTGATTTATTTTAGTTTTCAATAGATGTGTAAAGTGTTGAATTAATGTACACATGTTGTGATGTTTTAGATTCAAATCATAGTGAAATAATGGCTGGCCCTGTATGCTCTATTTTTCTTAAATGTTAATGATTCAGATGTATTTGTTTATTATCATACTTGTTACAGATCAAGTGCAAGCTTGTCCATGAATAAAAAGAATGGAGAAGAAATAAGAGATAAAAGACTGCTTTTCATTTTGTTATTTCATTTCATTTTATTCCATTCGTCATATAAAACATACATAATTATAACATTGATATTTACAGATAATTAAAGAACATAGAAACAACATAACGAAAGATAAACACAAAATATAATTATATATACAAACGAGGAATCCGGCAAGAAAGAACATTATAGTATTATGTGCTGCTGGTCCCTTATGATATAAGAAAGAATGTTACCCATATCTCACACTTAAAACCGTACACTTGACACCTAACATCTGATTGCATACACACACATATATATATATAATAATAATAATAATAGCATAGTAGTCCACTCCAAATTTTATTAAACCGAAACGGAAATTCTTTTTGCCCAATTGATCGTGAGCCCGGCAGCCACTGAGCAGCGCCAGATCGACGTTGCTCTATATATACAAATAATATACAACTAAACATGCTATTCACATGAATCGTAATTTTGTGTATCTTTGTGTACATGTATTTAAAGTTGGGCTTGATTTGATGTTATATGAGGCATGGGGCTCAATGCATATTGACTTCTGTAGAATTAGAAAGATAGTGCACGTATGTGCCTATAAAGTCAACCAAGGCGCACAAAAATCAAGAGTACAAGTACAAGATAATACAAAATAATTGAAAACAAAATACATAAATGACAAAAATGCTATTACAATAATCAACTTGGTTCGTCTTATACGAGTGCCCTTTATCTACCGTTTGACTAAGTTATACACGGTATTATGTGATGCGCTATGATACTATCGTCTGCAACTAAATGAACAAACAAAAATCTTGTCAATATGACATTTGATTAGTTTTGTTTATTTATTTTGTTAAAGTTATACGAGATTTAACTTGGTCCGTCTTATACGAGTGCCCTTCATATACCATTTGACTAAGTTAAACAAGGTTTAAAACATCTTCTTGATAAAGCTTGTAAGTACTACTAATTTATACATAAACAGCTTATTTACATAACCAGATAAAAATTATTGCAGAAAAATGTTTTTTTGATCATTAATAAGTACCCCAATAGTTATCTTGCCCACTCAAAGCCACTTTTTTTCTCAATTAGATATTTTGAATATTTTTTATGCAAAACTTTATAATGTCGCACTTTTTTGTTTCTTTGTTTCAAGAATCAAATTGAAATTAACACTTCTAGATTTGTTCAGTTCAATTTCAATTTTCACAATTTTAATACAAAGTTTTCTAAAAAATATCATTTATTCCGAGTAAGAACATATACCTTAAAATTTTCTATTTTCTATAAGGGCCCAGAAGTTTGGAATAAGTAAAATGATATCATAAGAGAAAGCCCGATATTCTGAATTCGTTTAAAAGGAGATGTATAAGTCACTGTTACTGAGCAATTCAATGATACGCGTCATGTATTTTATGTGTGTGTCTTGGTGTGTGCGTGTGCGTGGGTGAATGTGAGTGTGTGTGTGTGTGTTTGTGTTAGTTTATCTTTGGGTGGAATTGTATGTGTTTAAGAATTAGTAAGAGCCTTATAGTTTGACTTACTAAATACAGATAAGAATACTATCGGTGAATTATTAGAATCAACTGATGACAATATGAACAAGAAAGATGTAAAAAGGATTCATAACATCAGCTTTGATAGACTATTTTCATAATGTAACCAAATTTTACATTTAAGAGCATCGATACGAATTATTTCATTCACCTGTTACGAATAATTGTATTTCAATATTTAGAATGGAAATTGCATATAATTATTACGTGTTGTTAGGTAGCGCAAGCCATAATGTTTGTCCTACCTGGCAATAACTAATGTATGCAATTTGAGTTCTGACTATTAAGATACATTTTAATTCGTTAAGGGTGAATTAAATAACTCGTATCGAGACACTTCACAAAGGCATATGCATACATTTGGTTACACTACGACATTAAAAAAAGAAAACGTTGTCAATAAAGTGAACTTGATACTTTATCCCAAGATGATATTTTATGAATTATCACTGTGTTTGGATGATATGCGCCATAATGAAATATTTTTTAAACAATAATTTCTGGTCAACCCGAATGTAATTGTCCCGCGGCGTATCACGCACTTGAGAATCGTTTGATAGTCCTGGAAACTATTGCACGCTTTTTTTTTCTTGTACAAAAAAAAGTGTGATTGTCTCAAGAAATTAATAACACTTGACTGCGTTAGACCAATCATTTTAGTAAGGATCTAGGAGCTAGATGTATAATTATAACTTTATAACTATCATACATGCTCAGAAGATGATGGTACGCCTAATAATATTATATAAACGTCTAGAAAATATGCAGGTGAACATTAGATGTCTTGTCACCCTACTTTTAGTCGTCTGTTTCGGCAAAATTCAAGACAATGTATACGACAATAAAAACGTTGTTGTATCAACTTGTAACTATGATATTCTTCGTTCTTTTCAGGTAAAAATAACAGGTGACTTTTATAATGTATCCAGGCTGCAAATAGGCTGTACATTGAAAGGATTTGATTGAGTCAATGATGAGCCGAGAGCAGTGGGGGATCCGGGGGGGGGGGGGGGACGTGTACAAACACGTTAATTTTACCTTTTTGTTTGGAGATGGGCCCCCAAAAAATAAATAAATTAGTGCTCACTACTCCCCTCTCCCCCCCCCCCCCCTGAGCGAATTACCGGCCGACTGTTTCGCCGTTAAATATTTTCTCATCAATTGGGCCCCCTCCCCTGCCGCCGGCTGGATCCGCCCCTGGCCGAGAGACAAGGCTACAATTAATAAACGAGGGAACCTACACACAAGCAAATCTAGTCATCCTTTTTTGCCACTGTTTAAGTTTCGATAAAAGATAAAATATTTTTGAAGGGGGACCTTCTAGCTGTGTCCACGGGCCCGCTTAAGCGCCCCTTTTGTGCAGGGACAGATCGGGGGTCCAGAGGGCGGAGCCCCGGATGCTCTCGAGTTTTATTAATTCATAATCTTCAAGATGGTCTTAAGCAATATATACTATATCCTATCCATTGAAACTTGCACTGCCCCTTTTGCTTTATTTCGTTGGAAATCAATGCTCTTGCTCTGGACAACGTTGAACTGGTTTATGATCGATTTTTGCACTCTCGCAAACAATACCTTCTGTTCATCCAAGCGTGAACACATACCACACAAAAATGATACTGAATGATTTGGGATAAAACACTTTTTCATACGATGTATAATAATTTACTGTGCATAGATGATTTTTTAAAATAAATAGCAATTTTCTAGGTGTAATTTTTTTTTAGACTCACACTGTAGAGTGGGTAAGAAGAGTTAATGCGTGTGACGAAATGTAGTGCTACTGTGCAAAGCAAATGCTTATTTGCTATTTCACTATAATGCCATTATTTTAAATGAATGACATAATGTTTGATGCATGTATCTTTACAGTTTTGAAATGATTTGAATTTGAATGAGACAGCATAATTATAAAGACACACGTCACGTCGGATTCGCTTCATGTATAAACACTATAATCTCGACTCAAGGAATTGGTTTTGTTTGTGTAAACAAACGTCTAGTTACAACCACGTGTCATGACACGCGATCTTCCATAAAAGTGTAGAAGTCACACTTTTTGATCTGTTACTAAACTGGAATTACATTATTCATTTTCCTGTTAGCCCTCATGCTCTTCTGAAATTGTGCCCAGAAAAGTTCTTGTCCATCTTCATCATCATCAACCCACAGCAAGTAAGGTTTGTTCCGACTCAGCAACAGCCTTACAAGATACGGTAGGTGGTCATCATCGATATCCTCTAAGAATATGAGGATGACCTTCTCCAACTTGGTGTCATTCATATGCTCCACGGCCATACGCAGTTTGGTCATGAACCAGGTATCCTCCACTGACTGGTTGCTAAGCAACAAGACCGTCTTGAAGCTGTTCTCGATGACGTCGTAGATGGCGTTTAAGTAGAAAGACCCTGGATGGAGGCCACTATCCCCCCAAACAATATGCTCCAGATGTGGCATCCTCCCCTGCAGGAATGGCTTCATGCAATCGTTGATCCACCACTCATCATCTTCGCGGAACATGAGGTTAAGCTGATACTCGTAGTCCACATGACCTTGATTTTCAATGATTTCTTGATACCCAAAGATGGCCAACTTTAAGAGAAATAGTTTGTGGTTCAGCCACCAGCGCTTTAGGTATACGAGGACACTTAGCGACAGAACGGTCACGATTGCCAAAGATACACCTATGATAAGATAGATATTGACTCCGCAGTAATCTTTAGGATGGAACGACCAGATAGTCTGATTTTTTAGCGATTTGAATGAAGTACTAGAGCACCGAGTCTCACTTCTTTGATAGATTGTTGTATTCATCTTGTCCAGCAATTCCCTGAACCACTCAAGTTGGCAGGTACACGTGAAAGGATTGTTCGCAATGATTAACACATTTAGACTTGTTGGTATTAGTGTAAAAGGATCTATCGTGGATATTTGATTATTCTGGAGGGATAGATACTTGAGACTGGGTATTCTAGAAAATAATTCCTTCTCGATTACTGTAATAGAGTTAAAATTCAGTTTCAGGGTACGTAAATTCTGTAAATCTTGAAAAGCTTTCTCAGGAATGATTTTAATAAAGTTTTCGGCCAATGAGAGATATGTTAGTAACGTGAGATTCCTAAATATACCCGAGCCAAGTTCCTGTATACGACAGTCAGCCAGATCTAGCTCATGGAGATTCCAAAGTGTGGTAAATGCGTTAGGAACGTGGTGGAAAGCATAAAATAAGTTATGTTGAAGTTTAAGGGTGTGCAACGAGACTAGTCCTGAAAACAGCGATCTATTGCTTTTAAACTGGAATAGATCTTCGGCTTTGATTTTAGTTCTGGATAAGTTTAGAGTCCTCAGCGCCGACGTATGACTAAATTGGCTACGGGGAGTAATTTCCAAGCGACTAGCAAGATATGACATATCGAGGAATACTAGTTGATGCATGTTTCTGAAAGAACCAGTCATTGTGAATTTGACCAAATCCTTCATTATGATCTTTTCTAAAGAACTGGTTTCTTCAAAGGCATCATTGGATATTTTGAGAGGATTATTTCTGCTGAAATCAATAATTTTTAGATTTTTTAAACCAACGAATGTACATCTGTTCACGGAGTTGAGGTTGTTATAGGCTAAGTTAAGAGTTTGAAGATTTGTTGCGTTCCATGGTAAAATTTTGATTTCATGAATGTTGCTCTTATAGAATGTCAAAGTGCTGAGACGGTGGCTTCCATCGAACCATTGAGGATCTAATACAGCAATGTCATTAAGTGATAAATTAATGCTCTCAAGCTTTTCGGCACAAGCAAAAGATCCTCGTGGAAGCGACTTAATTTTGTTTACAGAAAGTCCCAAATTGACCAGCGACTTCAATCCACAAAATGACTCATTATAAAGACTAGATAAATGATTGAATCCAATGTCTAGTACCTGGAGCTTTTCGAAACCATCCAGGGCATACTTTGGAATAGTTATCAATTCGTTGTATTGAAGAAAAAGTTTTATTATACCTGGAAAAAGGTCTCTTGGTATTTTCGATGTATTCATGGGTACAATAGATTTTATTCCCGAGCAAGTTATGGTCGCTTTTACTATTACCTTGTTACCGAGAAAGGACTCGGCGTGGAATTTAGCCAAGGATATATTATTGATGAGAAGATTTACTGCTGGTAGATCTGTGAAAACGGCACGAGAGAGACTATTTATATCGTTACGATTCAATTTGAATATTTCGAAGGAGCAATTTCGTAAAGCTACAAAATCTCCTTGCTCTAGTGATCTGACTTTATTAAAAGACAAATCAAAAAGTGACAAATTCTTACATCCACATGCATCCTCCCCATCTTCTGCAAACTGAGAAGTTTTCAGATTGTTTCCAAAGATGCGAGGAATTTCCTTGAGTCTATTATGACGTAGGCTTAGCAAAGAAAGATGAACATTCTTCTCCAGTAGGGAAATGGGTAGGACACTGATACTGTTGTGATCGAGCATTAATACCTTTAGTAGCAGGAGATTATGAAATGTTTTATTCTCAACGAGGTAGATGGAGTTATAACTAGCGTCTAATGTTTCTAGCTGTTGATAGTTCACGAACGATTTATCCAGGAGCATAGATATGTTATTATCAGCAACGTTAAGGGACCGCAAGTCGTGTGGAAGATTCTGGGGAACCGATTTAAGACCGCGATATGAGCAATTTGCGCTATGGTCACTCGAGTTTACCGAGCACGTATGATTAAGAGTTATGCTGGTGCTATCCATCACCACACCATATAGCAAAGGGAATCCACACAGTACTACGAAGCTTATTGCCTGAGCGTACACAGCCATCATGAGTTCCAACCAACAGGTCGCTGATACTGGATTGATGTGAGAAAAACTGAAGGAAAATCGAAGTAGTATTCTGTCCTTAAAGATGATTACGATGAGTCAGCCTTTTTGTTCGTAAAATGAAACCTAGGCCTATCGAGAGATATCCACGGTAGAACGATGAAGTTTTTGCGGCTGCTGTAGAAATCGTGTTTCATGCCTTCTCAAAATGCGTTCGTTTATTTGTTTTAGTTGAATGATAAGATAGTATTTTTTTGTATCACATATCCAGAATATCACCACTTGATGAAATAGTTCGAGTAATTTAGGCACTATTTCTACCTTTAGACTACCAAGCTGCTCTAAGATTGACTGGATGGTCTTTATTTGCTTCCAGAGAAGGTAGATAGGCCAAGTCCTGGACTACAACAGAGAGATAAATAACTATCTGCAGGAATATGAACATTCAGTTGTTCCTATACGACTGCGCTCTTGACTGTCCCTCTGGGTTCCTTTCGTTCATTTATACTATAGGGTATGCGCTATTCAGTCTCAGATCTCTGTTGACTCATTTCCAGCTTTGTCATTTTTCTTTGACTTTTGAAACAAGCACCTAAATTCCTTTCGCCAAATGTGCATTGTCTATGAACATGTTACAACATGAAATGAAGCATCGGTTAAGCCACGTGGTCAGAGAGAAGAAAACAAAATTAATCGGGCGGTCGTTTACAGATAAGGAAATGACGATGCTTAATATTGAGCAAACGAGGAACTGGGATTCATAGTTTTCAAGAGGAGAAAAAACACCCCATATATTTAATCAAATTGATTTAATGTTTTTGTGTCTCATTATTTCAAGAAACAATTACTTTACGGCCTGTGGCTATCATTCTTGGCTTTTATCTGGTATTTATAGGCAATTTTCAAGTTTCGATATAATACAATTACTTTTGCCGAACAATTATCTTGTCTTGAGCAATAATATTTATCAAGTGTAATGCGACATGCTACGCTTGTGTGTTTGACTTACGTTCAGGGGCGTTCGGGGGTCTAAGGAGGGTCTTGAAAAATTGCATTTTACGCCTTTCCATGATATCTATATGATTTCTCAGCAAATTGTTCGTGCACCCACACACACACACACACACACACACACGCACACACACACACACACGCACACGCATTCTCATAACACACGCACTTTCTCTCTCTCCTAAGGACAATTTTGTAGGACAAAGAGTTGTCTTGGATTATAGATCCAGGGTAACGGATGGGGTCCTTGGGGCCCGCTTTAGCGCCCTTGTCGGCGGTCCAGCTAGGGGCGGACGCTCTTAACTTTTTTACAATCTAGAACCTTCAACATGACCGTCTCGAGCAATAGAAAGTGAAATTTTTACCTTGAAATTCACACATCCCCTATCATTTCTTTTCGTTAGAAATCATCTCCCTTTCTCTCTTAAAGACAATTTAACAGAACTATTTTTGTTGTACTGTTCTAGTTTCGTTCGAAGTATTCGTAGGCACATGTTGTTCCAACTCATCGTCGATGTAATCTGTTTGTGTACAATGTTACAGTTTCAGGTCCTTCTTTTTTCTTTCTTTCTCTCTCTCTCTCTCTCTGTCTGTCTCTCCTTTTCCTCCTCAGAACAATAACAGCAAAAGGTCCTTTTGAAGACCACTTGGAAGTTAGGATGCTTGAATCCGTAGATGATCGGACTGACTGCGCTATTTGCCGGTAATAACACGATACTGTAGAGTGTGAACACGCTAGTGCCGGGGATGAGCCGATTTATACTGGTTGCTAGGAAACAGAAGACAAAGACACATACGACCATAAAGAGATTCTTAGTGATCTGGATTTCCTTTCGCTTAATAGATTGGATCATGGGTGGACACGATTCTCGAGATACAGATGAATCCTTGCTCTGTGATGCATGTGAACTGGTGTCTCTCTTGATGTCATACTTGTCTCGAAAGTGTTTATTGTGTTGCAAAACATGACACAAAATAAGAACGTAGAATATTACGGTTAGCGTCAAGATAACGGCCATTCCAGTTCCTTGTAAAGTGACATAATAATAGTCAAGCGGGTTTGTGTCTGTTGACCAACATAGGCTGTAGTATTGAGAATAGCCAAGTGTCCCCATTCCTAGAAGAGTGGGTACGACCGTCAACGCGGCAGACCCAATCCAGATGATCGCCACTACTGTGGCGAGTTTCTTAGGAGAGTGGATGCCCCGTTGACCACGGACGAACTTAGTGATGACGTACCAGCGGACGATGGCTATGACGACTAGAGTCGAGGAGCTACAGCAAATACAAGTGACAGCGACCCCTGCAACCGTTGCGCAGACAAAATCATGTAGAGGATATCCTTCTGTTTGACTTAGAAGCCCCACAACCTGGAATGGAATGCAGAGACACGTTACCAAATCAGCGAAAGCCAGATTGACCACCAGTATGTTCGTGATCGTACGAAGTTTCTTGGCGACGACGACGGCGATGATGACGAGGATATTACCCAACAGACCGATCAGTGTCAATCCAATCAAGACTGATGCAACAATAGCTCGATGATGGAAAGGTATGTTATACACTTCTTGTCCTCTGCGAGTTTCTGTTCCCGTTTCTAAACTCTTCCCATCTATCTCCGTAGCTTCTATTGTGAAGTAATCAAAATGAAGCTGTGACGTGTTTTCCATTATTGCGACGTGTTTTCCATTATTTCAACGTATAATATGTTTTGGGAATTTCAGAACCAGTTTCAAAAGCTGCAGATTTCGTGCGATTTTTCACCTCAATGAAACACTAAAGCATTGACTTGTGAACGAAGAATGGTACTCAGCGCTTTATATCACCAGGAAAGAGCTTCACGGTACCAGCTAAGATAATGATTAATATTATTATATCGACGCCTCCTCTTCTTCGCTTCCTACATACTTGACAAGTACATGTAGCCATATTCATTCTGATTGGTTAGTTGCAACGTAGTTGCATGAACCTTCATTTACTAAATGTTGCATATTGATGATTATTTTTCCAATTATATATTTTTGCTCTTCCAACACCGATTTGTGAAGCAATCATCCTAACCCGGTCGCCGGTTTCATGAATCCTTAATGGGTTCTAAGTAATTCTTCATTGAATAGCACGGCGCATTATAAAACATCGCTCTATTAATATTTTAGATTAACTGTCAATTTGCAATCTCCTAAGAACAGGCACTAAATTATTAATAATGAATAAACGAAATCACCTCTTTTGGCATGAGAGAGAGAAAAGGGGAGGAGTGGATTGGGAGAGATGGAGAGAGAAAGAAGGAGGGGAGGGGAAGGGAGGCAGAGGGGGGGGGGGAGGGGCGAGATGATAGCCCATTTTTAATGTGAACTTCAAAGAGAATATAAGATTACTGCGATAATACTTCCATTCGTGTGGGGAAAGGGTTTTTTGGATCAAACTTCCTCAGTAACCTTTTTCTTCCAATGAATACCCACTCTCTCCTTGAGTAAAAAATACCATGAATATGCCAACGGAAGTCGTCGACAACTGCTAAAACTTACACAGCTAATTTCACGAAATTAAAAAGAAAATTGATGGTCTATTCATGATTTAAAATTTCTAAAAGTGCAGTTAATTTTAATAATGGGTTTCAGCCGATTGGCTCCATTAATCAACGGTGTTGATTATTCTACTGTCCCCTTCACCCAATTCAAATGACCTCTTTCAATATTTGATAGCTTCACAGTGCTTCCGAGTGACATTTATTAAAATGAGGATTTTTGTTTACATTAAATTTGAAATCAGACTTTGAATTTGTGTTCAGAAGCAATTTCGTGGTTTATCTGCATTGCACTTTCATCGCTTTGTTTGTTTGTTTGTTTGTTTTGAATATCAAATAGCTGGTTTTGTTTGTTTGTTTGTTTGTTTTACCTGACTGGTAAGAAAGCATGTTTATGCGTGTAAGTATGCAACCAGGGGACCGACGGCTATGGACTTGGTAATTATAGGGCACTAGCTCATTATAGGTTTCGAACACGAGACCTCCCGGCTTCGAGACAACAGCTCTACCACTGATCCATCGCGCCTCACTCTTTCTTTATCTTATGGATTTGATATATACATCGAGTGTAAGTTTATTGGCAGCGAACCATCTAGGCACCACTCTTATTCCGATGTCTAAGCGGACACTTTTTTTTTTTTTTTTGGTCTCGAAATTTGAAAATTTGACTTTTTTTTTTCGTTGGGGGGGTCACTTTACGTTAGCCGTGGGCATAATTTTTTTTAATTTTTTTTTTAATTAAAACAAAACAAAAACAAAACAAAACAAAACAAAACAAACAAAGGGGGGGGGGGGTTTTAGTTTTTTTTAGGGGAGTTTACACACATAAAAATACCAAAGGGGGGGGGGTTGAACCCCCAACCCCCCCCCCCCCCCCCCCTGCGTACGCCCCTGGTCCTTCGTCATGAGCAGACTGGATTTCTGTAACAGTCTACTTTTTTTTTTTTTTTGGTCTCGAAATTTGAAAATTTGACTTTTTTTTTCGTTGGGGAGGGGGGGGGGGGGGTAAGGTCACTTTACGTTAGCCGTGGGCATAATTTTTTTTTTTTTTTTTTTTTTTTTAATTAAAAAAAACAAAAACAAAACAAAACAAAAAAAACAAAGGGGGGGTTTAGTTTTTTTTTAGGGGGGTTTACACACATAAAAATACCAAAGGGGGGGTTTGAACCCCCAACCCCCCCCCCCCTGCGTACGCCCCTGGTCCTTCGTCATGAGCAGACTGGATTTCTGTAACAGTCTACTGTATGGTCTCCCTAAGAATAAGATTCGCAAGCTCCAAACCCTACAAAATGCTGCAGCTAGAATCATCCCAAGAGCCCCACGCATACCCGATACTTCACACCTTCTTCATGATCTTCACTGGCTCCCAATCGAAAAGAGAATAATCTTCAAAATTCTGCTCATCACTTTCAAAGCCCAGAACGACATGAGTCCTGCCTACATCTCAGATATGATTTCACCTTATGTTCCTGCACGCACACTCAGATCTTCAGCCCAGCACCTCCTGCAAGTTCCTCGTCACTCAACTCATTTCTACGACAACAGGGCTTTTGAAGTGGCTGCCCCAACTCTCTGGAATTCGCTCCCTCTGCATAACCGTCAAGCTCCCACACGACAGACTTTCAAAACCCTTCTTAAAACTTACCTGTTTCGTTTGTAATTTTTGACATTACTTTTCATCTATGTATTATAATTGAATATGCTACTCTAATTGATTTGTCATAGGTATTTGCTATTTGTATTAACTTTGCCCGCAATGAATTCTCTTAGCTACATGTCTTTAGTTTAAGGTCTTTATATTTCGTTCTTAATTTGTAACTATTTAAATATACTTGTACTTGATTGTTTTTTACTTTGTAAAGCGCATAGAGAAACTTCAGTTTATTATGCGCTCAATAAATCTATCTTTTATTAGGTGATACGTAACGAAGTCAACGTATCACCTTTTGATTTCGTCAAGATTTTTCTTTATTATTATTATTATTATTAGGTGATACGTACGTAGACGTATCACCTTTTGATTTCGTCAAGATTTTTATTATTATTTATTTATTATTATTCTTCCTCGAATTTGTTCGCAGGATATCTCAAGACTGAACGAAGCCATTGTTATGAATCTTTCAATGATGATAGATCTTAGTCTAACTTAGAACTGCGTGACTTTTCAAAGACTCAAAGTCATCGTGACGTCATCCAGGCGCCATTTTGTGAAAATCAACTAATGATCATATCTTTATAACGAATAATAATTTTTCATTCATATTTATCATGATTAAGATCAATATCCGTCCGGTCAAGTTGAGGTCAATAAACGTGCGTAAATGCGCGCGTGCGCGCTCGTCCGCGCGTTTACGCGCGCGCAAAAATTAAAAATGCTCTAAATCATCCCAAATTTTTTTTGCATACGTTTCAGGCCATATGGAGCATTTGATAAAAAAATTACGCACACGCGCATGCGCGCGCGTTTTCGCGCGTACTGGCATTTTGCAACATAGAATCGCCGATTTTTTTCTGTCATCATATTCGGTACATTTTTCCAAGCATTTTGATAATTTGTTCACCTTTTATTAACGCAATGAGCCTTCGTCAAAGTTGACTGCACGCGCGGATTTGCGTTATCTTTATCCACAATACATGGGCAAAAAACATGCCTATATAAAATTCATTGTAACTCTTTAGAATAGATAGAAACTCCTAATATTTTGTCATATTTGGATAGATTATGAGTCGGAGATATGATTTCATGTCTCATTTCATCCTCAATTAACTCATGACGTCATCATAATGGCCTCCAAACTCAAAATTTTAATTTGCATATTATGACGTCAGCATATTTTTGGAAAATTGATTGTATCTCTGTAAATATGGATCAATTTTCTTTTTAATTTTGATATGTTCTAGCTGAGACAATTTTCTACAAATGTAATGTTCACAATTTTTATTTTTGACAAAAGTATCATGGTGTATTTTTGCGATTAAAGGAGGCATGTCAATTTTTCGCATTTTGCGTGTATTCTCTATGGGACATGACTTTTTCTCAAAACTGGATTCTACACTCCTGTCTTTCGCGAGCAAAATCTCCGTTGTTTTAGCTTTGTTTTCGCTGAGCTTCGGATATGTTGTAGCTGAGACAATGAGCTATCAAAAGTGTCCCCTTTATTTTTCGATTAGATGCCAGGATCATGCTCATATTTCACTTGCAAAGTAGGATTTCTGAATTCCATTTCCTGTTTACGTGTAATCGCTATGGGAGATGTTTTGGTATATCGGTAACGCACTTGACTTCCAACCTCGAGATCCCTGGTTCGAGTCCGGGTGTCTCCAACACTTTTTTTTCACTTTTTTTTCCTTTTGACCTTCACTGTACCATCTCCTTTGATTATTTAAACACGTAGATTCGCAAATAATGTCATAAATACCCCTTTTTACTTTATTATTACCCTATTTTCACTTAATCCATTACTTTTTGCGTGTAATCCCTATGGGAAATGACTTTTTCTCAAATCTGGAGTCTACATTCCTGTCTTTTGCGAGCAATATCGCCGTTATTTCGGCTTGGATTTTGTTGATTTTTGAGTATGTTGTAGCTGAGATTATATGCTATCTAAATCAACCCTCATTTTTTCAATAAGATGTCATGATCGCGCTCATGATCATGATCATGATCATCACGATCATCATTATCATAATGATGCTAATCATTTATCAATTACATTTTCATTTCTTTGAATAAGATAAAATCGTCAAAAGGTGTTCTTCATGATGTAAATTAGAGTCAAATGTGTAACTGGTTACTGCACAGGGTCAAAGGTCATATATTGTTTCAATCTATCTTCCCTAGATTCATGATGATCAAGGAGACACAATTTAATCTTGACATATGAATAGATCATAATGGGAGAAGCATATGAATGGGAGAAGCAAAATAATATATCGTGTAATGCATTATTCGTTATGTAAACCATTATCATACGTATCACCTAATTCGTCTAAGTGACGAATTAAAGTCTAGTATTTATTTTGTGTCTGTATAGAAGAAATTATTAGGTGATACGTACGTAAACGTATCACCTTTTGATTTCGTCAAGATTTTCTTTATTATTTTTATTATTCTGCCATGAATTTGTTCGCAGGATATCTCAA